CTCCTTATTTATTTAAAAAAAATACCGGTTATATAAAATAACCGGTTACGCGCTTTTTAATATCGAATTAATTAATTAGGCACCTTTTAATAAAAGCTTTAATATTTTAAATATACCTAAATAGCGTTTTTTTCTTTATATTAAAAAAATAACGGCTTATTAATAATTATTAAAGACCTTATATTTTAAATTTTTTATTCGTAATAAAAAACGCATTATAACTAAAAGAATTTTAGGTTTTATAATAAAAATTACGGGAAAAAAGCGTTGCGTAAAGCAATTAGGGCATAAGCGGCTATTATAGCTTAATAGTTAAAAAGGAAGTTTTTAAAAATTTAGGGTTTAATTCCCCGAAAGGCCCGGAAAAAGGGTAATATTATAGGTGCACCCGATTTTCGGCACCGGATATATAGTTAATCCGGTGCTTAAATAGGTTACGATAGAATTTGCGTATAGGAAATAGCTTCCTTTTACTTAAGCTAGTTTATAGACTGTATCTGGCCATAACTGTGTGACTGCACGCACTTAGTGAGCCCATCACACTTATATACCATCCATCACTTGCATATGACGAGCGGCTACCCAGTCAATTAGTTAGTCAGTCAGTCTAGTCAGTCCATCCCTGAGCACTCGAGACATTTTTGTTTTCGTCCATTCTGAAGCATCCCTGACTCACCTCGCAAACTTCTTTTTCTTTCTTTCTTTCTCTCTCTCTCTCTCTTCCCCAAAAAAAGGAAAAAGAAAAGGCCTGGTTTTCGACTCTGCTGTTTCCGATCAGCCGTCTGTCTCCTCGCAACCAAGATACAAGCAGGAGTTTGCATGTGAATTTTAAACAGACATCTCATTGGCATTTGACCTGTGGCTCGCTATTGACGGACACGTCGCTTGGGCCTTCGGCTTTTGCAATGGTTGGGAATCTTCATTTGTGGCCAACTAACATCGCCGCATCGGGAATAACTTCAACCCCACGAGCCCACATCTAGGCGGTCAACGCTTAACTAGCCGGCCGGTGCTTGCAGGTACCTTTTGCCGTACAAGCCAAACCACGATGCATGTGGGTTATGATCCTGTGCCGGGCTGCCGCTAGGCTCGGGATGAGTACCGACTTAGTTGGAACTCCCGCCGCACAAACAGCTTTAAATCGAGACTATTTTGGCCACCCCGGGTAGATCACTGTAGCATCTGTCTGTGAGCCTTACCCCCGAGCAACCGAGAGCAAGCAAATGTACGCAAGGAAGCGAAGACGACCCACCAGCCCATACACTTCTCTTCTATCTTGCCATTCTGCCTTCGTGCCCGACTGATCAACATTTGCACGAAACTGGTGGAGTTGGCAGCTATCAAACCGGCCAGCTAATGGTAAGCTTAAGTGTAAGTGCCTTGGCAACATCAAGTTTCCGATAAGCTCGGAAGCAGGTTCAGCTGGCTGAGTAGGTACCTATCTAACCTAGGTGAATAAGTACTGTAAAAGGTATGTAGCCCACGTATACGGGCCCGAACAGCGGCCAACGGGGGAAGAACATTGAAGAGTGGTACAGACACGAGTGTATAAAACTGCTATCATTCTACCCGTGGAGGCACGCACTTGGCAGCCACTTCCATAAATCAAGCATGATTGGCCAGGTCACTTGTCCTTCTGATGATAAACTGACCATAATCTAGTCCTAATCAGATTAGGAAATTGTTTGTAAGAATCCAAATCACGTGAATAACTGTCGCATAACTTGCCGTGGCCTTATTATAGTGGTTCACGGGTGATGGCACGCGTGTAATTGAGTACCAAGTGGTGGCGTTCTGCTCTCACCCCGAGGCCGCATGATAGAGTTACTGGGAGGATTCGCGTCATGTAGTTATGTGGTTGAAGCAGGTGATGGTGGGAATTTACCGCTTTGCAAAGTACCCAGCCAGATGATTTCTTTTGGTAGTGTAGGCTGTCATTTCTTCTTTCTTTTTTTTTTTCCTTTCTTTTTGTGTTCCTTTTCTTTCTGTTCGTGTTATCGGGTTTCCACCTGTACATAGTACCGCGCATTTTTATTTCCCAATGGACAGTAAAGCCCAGAGTTGCAGGCGTTAGGGAATGCATCATACAGTAAGTATATCGAAGATCCATTTCTTTCAGCTTCGTTGGCTTTCCGTTCTGCCACCATATCTCAACTTGCTTTCCAAACATCGTGTCAGGTACGTAAATACGGCAGATTCCTTCTTTCGGGCATATGTATATCGGTCTTGGTCCCCGAACCCGTTTGCCGTGCTACCTACCGTCGGAGCCTGCATACTGCGTCGCCGAATGGATTACCGTCTGTCGTGCTACAGTGCTCGCTCGCTTTCATCTGAGCAACGAGGAGATCCAGTAGTACCAGATCGTCGCTCTATAGGTTATCTATCTCGACCGTTAAGTAGATGTACACATTCGATCCTGACTGATTGACATTGAAACACCTTTTTCTCGAGAAATGCCGCCAACGCGACACTGGAGATCTAGCTAGCCCTGAGCGAATAAGATGAAAAGCCCATGGTACATACACCCGCACTGGCAATGTTGTCAATGTAATGATGCAGATCTAAATCTCAGAAGTCTGGCAAAATGCATACTTAGGCCCGAACGATATGCGGAAAGAATTGAATCACGACGAGTGGCGTGCATGGACAGCCAACTGCAGTATACATCTTACTGGATAGTTACCCGAGTACCTGGCAATCCTGTGGGACTGTTACTTCAATTTGTATCCCGTCGCATGGAGGAGATATTTGCCTACACGAAAAGGCATTCAGAACCACTGGTATTATTATAGAAATTATGACCCGGGGAGTTTCTAAGAGCAGATCATGTTTCTTCACCCGTACGTTTTGAGTTGCCTTGTGATGTCCAAATCAAAGAACACGTAAAGGAAAATGCACAAAATACGTATTGTGCATTTTACTAACGACTGTGCCATACCGTCTGTTTCACGCTTCTCCATACTACCATGATACTAATTCACACGTGGAAGAACAAAAAAATTGCTCATCTAACAGAGTCATTCTCGTCTGAGTCCGTAGTGGACATTCATACTAACATCTCAACTTGTAGTTGGGCGTCAGGATATCGTCTTTGAATAGATAAGGAGACCCACCATGATTTTTCTTAGAATGCATTCAAACAAGAAAATGTCCGAGGCCGAATGTTTGAGATGAGTTTGCTCGCGTCAGAAAAATAGATATTCAGATTCTTGCTCTATTGAACCACCGGGCGTAATGTTCTTCTAACAAAACATTATCCTACGTATTCCAGTTCCATCGTGGCAAAGCCCGACTCCGCTTTATCAGTACAAAGTCAGAAATATCTCATCTGTCGTATTCGTCTACGCATATGGAGGCCAGCTTCAACCCCACAAGTGTAGACCACCGCAGCTGAACGTCGATCGCAAGACTGTCTTCATGGTACAACGTCGACATCGATAATGACCTCTCCTAACCCCATGCTCGTCGCTTTGAGGTCTCGGCCGATGTCTCCCCCCTTTGCCACGGGGCAGCTTACAATGGCTGCAGACATTGTTTCGTGGGGCCTCTCGGGTGGTTGCGACTTGGCCGTGGGTGTCAGCGTTGTGCTGCTGTAAACCCATGTATACTGATGGAGGACTCCCGGGGCAACCCGGGACTGATCGCTCATGAAGAAGAATGCGGGCATGGTGAGATGCATTTCCGTCTCTGGAAAAGCACATCGACCGCCGGACGAGATGGCACCATGTACGGGCCGCTTCGTCCCCATCCCGTTGTCGGTCATGTGATTCGATCATGCTCAGTATGTCCATGGGTGTTGAGCTGTACGTGTGCGGTGAATATGGCGGGGAAAACGGATATTGGTGTGTGTTATCGTCGCGCCTATCATTTTTCATATCACTGACAGTAGTGGACGAGCAGATGGGTTTGAGCTTCCCTCCCGGTGGCCCTTGGGTTGCTGGTGAAGCGTAACGTTGGAGATAGTCGATATCGTCTAGACTGTACGACTGTCGACGCCGCAGACGATGAGGGACGGGTCCGCTCTTGAAGAACCTGTAACGTAAGGGACAGCGTAGAAGGGAAGATAGATCTGATGTTGAACAGCTGGCAGTTCTCAACGTTGAAATGCTACGTGTCTCCGCGATGGGATCGAGTTCTGTACCCTGACCGTACATGAAAGGGATAGTCCCGAGACGAGAAAGCGGAGACTCGGACCGCAAGTCCTCTTCCTTGATCTGGTTTTGACTCCTTGCTGATGCCACTATCTTGATTGGTCGCGGTGAGACTTTGCGAATGCTAGTAATACTGGCATGGGATATACATTCGGCATCGTAAAATGAGCTTTCACGACCAGATCCGTGAGCGTTTCTCGGCTGTTTCCCTGGAGAGCGGATAGATAATAGAGGGGACATTGTGTTACTTCTCTCGGCAAGGGGTAAACGTGTTCTCGCCGCTGGTGAGCAGTCTACATGCTCATGATGCTTGGGCATTGTTGTTTATTTCTGTCTTAGAAGGACTTGAGACAAGAACCAGGGTATGTGGACCTGTAAGACTCTGCGGTTACAAGAACAAGAAAATAATACCACGAGGGAATCGCGGATTAGGACTGGAATATTGTTGTATGATACAATGCAGTAGAGGTGTTAAGAAAATAATCGATGAAGGCTAAAGTCCCGAATCAAGCCAGCCAGCTTCTGCCGACCATCTTCTAAACACAGAACAGGGCAGGATTAAGCTTAGGAATTTGGCGTGGCCGTATTCAGTCGCGACTGGCGCGTCTGCTATTGCCAGATTCAACATTATCAGTTTATTGAAACTGATGTAGGTGCCTGTCAGGGTGGGTAGCTGGAGCCAGCCATATACTTGCGTAGGAAGGGGCAACCTCTTGGACGGCCGGGTATCTTCCTTTGCTGCTCTCTTAAAGTCAGGACAACATGCAGCACAACGCGGAAACCTGCCATTAAACATCTTTATTCTTGACATCTCTATCATGCTAGCAGTTCTGGATACCCCTAGACTCTCTAAGATTCCGTACTTGCTTGTACACCTTCCGAGGCGAGTGCTCTTTGATAATCTGATATTGCCAGGTTGAGCGAGTGGACAACGGGCTGCATGAGTTTTTCCACCGCATCGCGGCCGCCCTTGATGGTCTTTGGGTTGAATTTGATCTTCTTCTTTGTTCGCTCGTACACTCTTATGATTTCATCTTTCCTCTTCGCAATGATGTCCTCGCGTGCCCTTTCCGCTTCAGCTGCCACAACGTCAATGCGTTCTTTGCATCGTTTGAGCGACTCTACGAGATATCCAACCTCGACGGCCCTGTCCGGGTCTCCCGAGAGAAAGGCTGACCAGAATTGGTTGACAAATTCCATCGTGGTGGCGTGTGTCAGGTTGCACCTGGCGGCAATATCGACCGGCAATCCCATGGGTGTTGACTCGTCCGAGGTGGAGCCAAACAGTTGGGCTCTTCTCTGCTTCATACTGTCGAGAACCTGCTTGTGAGCATCGCGCCTCGACGAGCGAGACCCCACGTGCACACGCTTCGCCGACTCCTCGTCACTCTCGCTTTCATCGTTGATGCCAATAGCTGCGTGAAGATCAACGCCCATTGAGTCATCTCTATAAAGCTGAGCAATGTCTCTCTTCACACCTCGCAGGGCTTGAGACGGATCTTGCTTGCCATATGCGTCGTCAGAAGCCGTATTAGCGTCTCTTTGCGCCGAGAAGAAGCGGCTCTGTTCCCTAACGTTGAGGATGACGCGCTGCTCCTCGGTATCACCGCGCAAATCACGAAGCGCGAGCTGATCATATACTTCATCATCTTCCGGTCGTGCTGGATCCATCATCTCGGTATCGGCGGGGGTGACGTTAACGAGCAGCTTGCCGCTTATGCTGTTGAGGGTCTGAATGATGGGTACATATTTCCAGCCCCGTGGTCGCATTTCAGCGTCTTTCTTGTTGCCTCCTTTGTAGCCACCCTGGTTTTCCTCGTTGCCTTCCAAGTCGATGATGTGGGGAACATGTTGGGTCAAGAGTTTGCTCGAGAAGGCCGTGATATTTTCAAACTCATTGTATCTGTCAAAGACCTTGTCGGGCTGCTCATTACCGGCGGGTCGCTCTCCTCTCAGCTTTTTTACGAGCTTGCTTAGGAAGAAGCGCTCCCAGAACTCATTCTCAGTAAGTGGTGGCACATTCTCATTGTAGATACGTTTCACCAGCGGATGTTGGTTGAGGATCAGCTGAACCTGTTCAACAGTGATGCTAAGCTTTTGTCGATCGGGCTGGTTTGGATCCGCACTCGTCTCGGAGATAGGCTTGGCAACGGAAAGAATGTTGTATGGGCCTTTCTTCTGACCAGTCTCGATAGCGTGTGCTCGCAGGAGATTCAGCCTCGTCGACCAGAACTGAGCATTGAACGTCGCATTAGACATGGTCTCTGGTTTGGTGGAGCGCGCCTCCATGTACATCTCATGAAGGTTGCGATCGGCTTTCATGAGAGACTGCTGCAATGCGATGTCGCCCTTGAGCTGGCTGTCATCGAAGACGCGCGCAATGGCTGGCTTGGCATTCACTGCGCTTGCAAATGTCATAGAGCCAGAGCCACTTCCTGCTGCCGAAGAAGTAGCACTAGGTCCAGCGGCCGCCGAAGCATTTGGTCGGGGGACATTCGGATCATTGCTTCTCGAATCGGCAAGAAGCCGTGAAAGCAGTTCTTTGATGGCGTTGGCCTCGCCTCTCGGGTCACCTGCGGAGTTGAAATTGAACAGGTACGGTGTAGGCTCTTCTGCGCCGGGCGCCTTCTCAAATATCTTGAGCATTACCTTTGGCGACGAGTCTGGGGTCTGCTGGAGATCTAACAGTTTGGATTAGTAACGGGAGCTCAGCAGGGAGGGAGGTTTGGTAACGGCATACTCGTAATATTCGCAACTGCCAGTGACACGACCGGCGGCCCTCCCGGGGCAGCCGCTGGGGTCCAGGTGACGAATTTCTGGTCATCGCTGATTATTATGGTGCCGTCTTTCTTCTTGTACACGGCTGTGCCTTTCGGTTGCGCCATGGTGAACCAGAAAGTTGAAGAAACTCTGGTCACAAGGAGCTGGCGGAAGGTGCAAAAACGCCAGCAAACAATGGCTACAGCACTTGATGGATTCGGGGTGAAAACGACCCTGGGATTTGCTGTCCAATACCGAAAGAAAGGAATAAACAATGCTGGGACTATGGCCGTGGCAGCAACCGACCGACGTTGTCTACGGCAGGATCATCAGGTGCTCGGTCGGCCTACCGTATCTGCCACCAGCTGCCCGGTCAGATCGAGTGCCGCCTTGGAGCATTTATCGCAGCAGAGAATGGGCCACCTTGAGTCTTCTCCTGTTTGAGTCGGTTCTCCCCTCCGACCACGTAAGTTGCCTGTCAGCGTCTAATAAGTCAGTCCAGGTGGTGCAGCAGTCTCTATCAAGAAGGAAGAAATGTCACAGTCACGATGTCAGGAATTGACGCCACAAACAGGCACCCTGGTGCATTCCAACAGGGGGACTGCACACACTGAGTACTGTGTAGGGGTACCCGACGTAGGTACCTAGCTGCTAGGTAATGTATGTAGGCTTCAATGTTGCCAGTTAGGCGGCAGCCCGGCGGGTGCGAGGGAAAATGTGGCGCCAACTCGCCCCGTTGTGGCTTGGCAGAGCGCTCCAAAAGCTCAAGTCCCAATTTGGGTTTTCAGCGGACTACTAGCACTGGAGTAGTTATCCCGTACAGAGTACGTACACTGTCGGTCTCTCGGCTCAAAAGAGAGGATCCAAGTCGCGAAGTCGACTCCAGCTTTAGTGTATTGCAAGCCTTGTCAAGTCCTGTGGCGCGACCGTAGATACAAACTAAAAATCCCAATTGCCATGTACTTCTTCAAGAAGCTCGTCATACGCAAGCATCACGAAAAGTCCAGTCCATGACACTATCAGTTGAATATTAGCCATGCCTGTAAACTACTATTGCACTTTTCTAGTCTTGCATCATGATACTCATAGGACTGACTGGGCTGGGTTGATAATAGTAATGCGCTATGGGAGCGAAAGTGCGTCTTCTAGGAGCTCTTTAGCTGTCTGCTTTGGTTGTTCTGCAGATCAAACATGAAGCTATAACGTCATCTAGCATTGCTATTTGTACACTATCTAGTACCTACGGATAGAGCCGAAAGAAACACAACATAAGAAAGAAAATGCCTCGCAGCCCAGCTGGCGAATTACAGGCGACGAGGTTTGCTGACTCATTTTTCTTCCCACGGTCAACGAGATCGGTCTTGAAAAATGATTGTGCCCTCCAGATGATCCAATCGAGCAGCAGCTGTAACAAAAGTGCTGATCAGTCACGCCCATACTATGTATGTTAGGTACTCATAGCACGAGATGCGCCATGTGCCTTCATGCACGCACGATATCGAATGGAATTTCTCAAGAGCAGTACGTACACGTGTACCAGAACATTGAAGTGATCCACCGACTGCCGAGCGACCCCAGACTTGGACTTCGGAAAGCAAAAAATAGAAGGGGGAAAAAAGGCTCAAGCGGATATCAATTGAAAGGCCACTCTTCAGTCTAGCAATCTCGGGCCTTCCCACGAATCACGAAGTGGCTACTCGTAATCCGTCCCTTTCTGATGACCTCTTTGCCAATCTTTGTCTTGACTGAACAGATAAGTAGGTGGTATACTAGATAACATCCTCTTCCCCAGGTTCTATACCTAATATCTGCCATGTACAGAGTGTACCTAGGCGGTTTCAATCATGTCTGGCCCGAGTCCGTCCGCAGATCCACGTTTGACAGATCCGACGGCCCTTCCTCACCAGCCCGTGTTCCAGATCGTCTTGACATAGGAGGGAGATGGTTGCTGCATGGAGAAGCATTGCAACGCACCTCTACCATGGACCAATATATATCTCCGTTCCTGATATGCTACGTGTCAAAAGCTTGCTCGTTCAGTACTGGTCAAATTTTTGTTAAGCAATTACATTTAGAAGCAATCAATCATGGGATAATTCTGCTTGGAGTCAACTCTTTCTCGGTGCATGTCATTGTCTACCTCTTTTTTCTTCTTCTTAAACCCTCTGCCCATGACAGCAGTCACCCGGCTATCATGGGTAAAGTACCGTCTCTGTCAGCCCTTCGGCTAAGCAAGAGCTCAAGATCGGGCAGAACAGGGAACCGTCGACAGGGGTTGTGGCAACCAGTGTAGTAGCTACTGGATTGGATTGGGATCTGTGTGTCCAGTGTCCAGTGTGTGTGTGTGTGTGTGTGTGTGTGTGTCTGTCCTTCAGGAGGCCCGGCGCTTGACCCAACTAGCATCAAAAGCTGGTGCTACTAATGGCCGCGGATGGAGCACCTGCACTAGGTAGAATTTCTCCAATGCGTGTTTCCCCCGTGACGACCTCCAGTCCCATTTCGGCCTCGTTTTTTTCTCCCTCCCTCCCTCTCCGCCCTCTCTTTCCTCCTTCTTGCCATTTAAACGTCACCCACGTCACAAGGACAGATTACCACGAACGACTTACTCCGCCGCTCCTTTGGTTCTTCGATTCCTTCTCAGCTGCAGGAGGGTTGAAGAAGATCTGGTGGGGAGCTCTTCTTCTTTTTTTTGTCGCCGTCTTGACCTGGTCGTATCTGAGGTAGAAGGAAGTCAATAGCAGCTGTCTAGTTCTGCGGGCCCATCTCCTCCGTATATCTTATATACAGACGAAAACAACAACAATAACAACAAAATCCACATACACTATACCAACTGCTGTCCAAGCATCAGCCTGGCGCCATGCTGAGCAGTTCTCTACGCAGATGCAGCGGCTCGCTGCTGCGCGCCTCCAACCAAGCCTCCACACGATGCGCCTCCGCTGCCCGTAGCTCGAGATGCTTCTCTTCCGTCTCTGCTGCCCGTAGGCCTCTCGCCGTCTCTGCCACCCAGAAGAGGTACGCCTCGGCGCAGGCTCAGTCGCCCGACCCCAACGACAACTTCCTGTCCGGGAGCACTGCCAACTACATTGACGAGATGTACATGCAGTGGAAAGAAGACCCCCAGAGCGTTCACGTATCATGGCAGGTCTACTTCAAGAACATGGAGAGCGGTGATATGCCCATTGCTCAGGCCTTCACGCCGCCGCCAAATCTGGTCCATAGCGCTACCGGTGGCGTCGTCTCGAGTCAACTGGGAGGCGTCGCCGCCGGCCAGGGTTCCGACATCACCAACCATCTCAAGGTTCAGCTTCTCGTGCGCGCGTACCAAGCCCGCGGTCACCACAAGGCTCGTATCGACCCTCTCAACATCCGTGGCGAGGGCAAGGGCTTCAGTGACATCAAGCCCAAGGAGTTGAACCTCGACCACTACCAGTTCACCGAGAAGGATCTTGACACCGAGTTCGAGCTGGGTCCTGGTATTCTACCCCGTTTCAAGCGTGAGGGCCGCGAGAAGATGACCCTGCGCGAGATCGTGGCTGCCTGTGAGAAGATCTACTGCGGTTCCTACGGTGTCGAGTTCATCCACATTCCCGACCGTGCCAAGTGCGACTGGCTCCGAGAGCGTGTCGAGGTCGCCCAACCCTTCAAGTACTCGATCGATGAGAAGCGCCGAATCCTCGACCGTCTCATCTGGAGCTCCAGCTTTGAGTCCTTCCTTGCCACCAAGTACCCCAACGACAAGCGTTTCGGTCTCGAAGGTTGCGAAACTCTTGTCCCCGGCATGAAGGCTCTCATCGATCGCAGCGTTGACTACGGCGTCAAGGACATTGTAATTGGTATGCCCCACCGTGGTCGTCTGAACGTTTTGAGCAACGTTGTTCGCAAGCCCAACGAGTCCATCTTCAGCGAGTTCGCCGGTACTGCCGGCGCCGAAGACGAGGGTTCGGGCGATGTCAAGTACCATCTGGGTATGAACTTTGAGAGACCTACTCCCTCCGGAAAGCGTGTCCAGCTCTCGCTGGTTGCCAACCCATCGCATTTGGAGGCTGAGGACCCTGTCGTCCTCGGCAAGACTAGAGCCATCCAGCACTACAACAACGATGAGAAGACCCACAGGACTGCCATGAGTGTTCTCCTTCACGGTGACGCTGCATTTGCTGCCCAGGGTATTGTCTACGAGTGTCTTGGTTTCCACTCCCTGCCCGCCTTCTCCACCGGCGGTACCATTCATCTGGTTGTGAACAACCAGATTGGTTTCACGACCGATCCTCGATTCGCCCGCTCCACTGCCTACTGTACCGATATTGCCAAGGCTATTGACGCCCCAGTGTTCCACGTCAACGCCGATGATGTCGAGGCCGTCAACTTTGTCTGCCAGCTTGCCGCAGATTGGCGCGCCGAGTTTCAGTCCGACGTGGTCATTGACATGGTCTGCTACCGAAAGCACGGACACAACGAGACTGACCAGCCGTCCTTCACTCAACCCCTCATGTACAAGAGGATCAGCGAGAAGGAGCCCCAGATCAAGATTTACGCCGACAAGCTGCTCGAGGATGGCACCTTCACCAAGGAGGACGTTGAGGAACACAAGCAATGGGTCTGGGGCATGCTGGAGGAGAGCTTTGCAAAGTCCAAAGACTACCAGCCCTCGTCCAAGGAGTGGACTACATCGGCCTGGAACGGATTCAAGTCCCCCAAGGAGTTGGCCACGGAAGTCCTGCCTCACAACTCCACCGCCGTGGACAAGAAGACTTTGGAGCATATTGGTGAGGTCATTGGAACTGCTCCCGAGGGCTTCCACGTGCACCGCAACCTGAAGCGTATCCTTCAGAACCGCACCAAGTCGGTCCTTGAGGGTAAGAACATCGACTGGTCGACAGCCGAAGCCCTGGCTTTCGGTTCCCTGGTTACTGAAGGTCATCACGTTCGTATCTCTGGCCAGGACGTCGAGCGTGGCACCTTCTCTCAGCGCCATGCCGTCTTCCACGACCAGGAGACTGAGGACTCGTACACACCCCTGCAGCACGTTAGCAAGGACCAGGGCAAACTGGTCATTTCCAACTCGTCCCTGAGTGAGTTTGGTGCCCTTGGTTTCGAATACGGCTACTCCCTGTCGTCTCCCAATGCCCTGGTCATGTGGGAGGCCCAGTTCGGTGACTTTGCCAACAACGCCCAATGTATCATTGATCAATTCATCGCCTCGGGTGAGGTCAAGTGGATGCAGAGAACGGGCCTGGTCATGTCGCTTCCTCACGGATACGACGGTCAGGGCCCCGAGCACTCGTCTGGACGTCTGGAGCGATACCTACAATTGTCCAATGAAGACCCCAGAATCTTCCCGTCCGAAGAGAAGCTTCATCGTCAACACCAGGACTGCAACATGCAGATTGCGTACATGACTACACCAGCCAACTTGTTCCACATCCTGCGTCGCCAGATGCACAGGCAATTCAGGAAGCGTAAGTCAACCATCCCCTGCGCCGATACTCATTTCTGATATAACCACCCACGCTGACATGATTGATTCTCCCTAGCTCTGATCATTTTCTTCTCAAAGTCTCTGTTGCGTCACCCTCTTGCTCGTTCCAGCATTGAGGACTTCACCGGTCCTGATGCCCAGTTCCAGTGGATCATCCCTGACCCCGAGCACCAGACTGGCGCCATCAAGAACCCTGAGGAGATTGAGCGTGTCATTCTCTGCTCTGGCCAGGTTTGGGCTACTCTTTCCAAGTACCGTGCCGACAACAAGATCGACAACGTTGCTTTCACTCGTATTGAGCAGCTGAACCCGTTCCCCTGGCAACAACTGAAGGACAACCTGGACATGTACCCGAACGCCAAGACCGTTGTCTGGTGTCAGGAGGAGCCCCTCAACGCCGGTGCCTGGAGCTTCGTCCAGCCTCGCATTGAGACTCTTCTTAACCACACGCAACACCACGACCGGAAGCACGTCATGTACGCCGGTCGTAACCCGTCAGCCTCTGTGGCTACTGGCTTGAAGGCTGCTCACAAGAAGGAAGAGGAGGACTTTTTGGAGATGGCCTTCTCCGTGACGCAGGACAAGCTCAAGGGCGAGTAGACTGACAAGGTATCGGACGAGCAAGTAAAACGAGAGGGCGATGCACTAAGTGGGATTTATGTCGCATAAATACTCTTTGCTGTATTGTAATTCATTCTGTACAACGTGGCCTTAACGAGAGGGAAGAAAAATACTTCTAGGTTGAGGCTGGATAGACTATGGCACGCGGGTTGGGATGGCCTTGCTTTATTAATGCATACATACATTCTCTTTTGTCTCTGATTAGATATGTCTGCAAGGTGTTGATCCTACCTGTTATATGATGAAGTGAATAGCCTCACCAGCAAGGTAGTTGCGGAAACACTGCCTGAGTTGGTCTTCTCATTCATGATTTGCTAGAGGAAAGTTTCGTCATAGAACTAAAACGTTGTAAGTAATTCAGGGTATATACGCTATACTATGTTCCCAAAATCTAGATGGTGGGTTCAGAATACGCCACGCGATTATGTGCAATATCAAATCAAAATATAGAGGATGAGACAAGATATCAACATCTGTAACTGTGTGTGAGCGTTCACGGTTTCGTCTTGCCGCTGGCACGGAAGTGACAAGCCTGATAGTCACTGTCTGTATTAGATAGTTGAAAGTTTGGAGACGACTCGCTGTTAACTACGAAGGCGCCGAAGGCAAGGCTCTCTTTCCTGCCTTGACAGCTCTCATAGCGGGGAGGGTGTGCGCCCTCCCTGGTCTGCGTCCAATCTCCATACATAGCATTCGGATCAAGTCAGGATTAGCCCAATAACTCGAGTGCGCACCCAGCATATTGATATACTGGATCTCGAGAGGTCCGCCACCTGATCGAAGGAAGTAGTCAATCTGCCCATTGTCATTGAGCAAGAAGGCCTTCTTCTCGGCAATATCTTCGCGCGTAAAGTCGTGCACTTCCAGCTCGAGCTGGGAGGGAAGACGTAAAGTGGGCGGCTTGACAAGTGCCGGATTGTCGACATTCGTCGTGGTCGGGCCTGCGCCCGGAACCCAGCTGCGGACAGCATGGCCCACGGACTGCAGAAGAGTGGTGTTGACGCTGGGCACATAGGCTGTCTTGAGACTGGCAGAGTATTTGGGATCTATGGTTCCGTTCAACAAATAGGCCACTGGGTCTTCGCGAGCGAGTACATTGTAAACATTATCAACGGCTAGGCATCCGAACAGTCCGGCTTCGCCAGCGACATCAGTCGAAGATGTATCCGAAGGATCTGCGCCTGGCTTTTGTCGCCCCTTCCGAGGGATCAATGCGCCTCGCTCCAGCAGCAAGAAGAACGCTGCCGGGCTGCCCAGAAGGAACAGGTTCTTCACGTCGAATTCGAATCGATCCAGTCGTATGTTTGAGTCAAGATTCAGTGGCGGCGTAATCGTTGGTTGCTTTGAAAGGATCTCCAGGGCCATGGCGCTCCCCAGAGAGTGGCCGATCAGATGCAGACGGCCATTCTCGGCAAATCCAGGGTTATTACGACACCAAAGCCTATAGACTCGGTTTGCTTCACCGACCAACGCTGAGATCATCTTGGGCTTGTGGTGTGACATGTAGAATGGGATATCAAACATAATGTCCGAAATCATGCTTCGCACGGCAGGAATGGTCTTGGGCTCAATATCTTTGAGTCCAAACCCTTCTGGCATGTATTCGGCCTTGTCTCGTTCCTTCATGGGCCCACCTTCTTCGAATGACAGGTTTTGTCGCCAGTTGACTGGGAGAACCATGATACCATTCTGTCCATCACGGAGGACCTCCCTGACGGCTTCTGAGCCCAGCTCGACGTTAATCATTCTTCGAAAAGTATTGATAGCAAACGTGAAGTGGTAGCTCTCAACTCGTTCTGCCAACTTTTGTCCAATGCCGTGCGCGACGAGAATCAGGTCGGTTACTTGCCCACGTTCTTTCGCATGCTTGCATGCCGGACACACATCTTGACCGGTACTTTCTGGTGCCTCGCTGGCAGCTGACCTAGCTGGTATCGTCCTATGAGGGGTAGTCTTCTTTGCATGTATCTTTTCATACTCTTCCCGATCGAACCCCCGAACCACTGGGATGCCAATATTGAAATTCTTCATGATCTTTGCCACCGGGCGCCGGCCGTAATATGCCGAAGGTCTCAGGCTGGGCTTGAGAAGAAATGCCAGACTAGCATCCTTGTAAATAACGTGGTACTGCTCATATTTCCGGTGTGACTCTATCTCAATAGAATTATCTTCGTTTGAGGAGTGGAGCAAGCTGCCCTGAGCAGCCGCTTCGCCCTTGAAGCAGCGAGCCGCGCAGAAAGGATTGCTTGAAATGACTGCCTCTTGTACAATATCTTTTTCCTTGGTTTTGGGTTTGGTTTGTGGTGGCCTGGACCAAAGAGGATGGGATACCTTTTCTTCTCCAAGAGGCCCGACTTCGACCGCGCAACGGAGTTCATCATTCCAAGTCTCTGTATATGGCTTGAGATCCTGATAGCCTGCCTCAAGTTGATTCGCCACAGTGGGATCGATAGGCTCCATGTTGTCCTTGTAGAACCATGTAGCCCGGAGCACGGCAGCTATATCATTGACAGGAGACCAGTAGATGGGCTTCATCTGCAATGCAGGTAATGAAACCTCGTGTAGCCGCGAAACACCGACTGGCACGTTGGTCGTACCACTTCGTGTTGTCCTCGTTTCTCGTTCTGGTAGTGTAGAAGGCAGTCTTGGCAGGGAGGGATGTGACGCCCTGACGTCTGTGACCGGGTCGTCTTTCACCTCCTTATCGGTTGCTTTCACGTCGGATGAAGAAGTAGGGAGAGAGTTTGAGATCGGAAACTGCATCACCTCTGGGCTACCTACTCTCAGGAACGGTTTCCCAGTGATACCATCATCTTGGCCACCAGAGCGCAAGGCTCCATGTGCATCATCACCCAGAGAAGTCTGCGACGGAAGCCATGATTGAGCTCGAGCACGAGAACCCTGTCGGCTCGATGCCTCTGTGCTCATCCGGCTTGACGGTCGGGAATCAGACCTCGGAAGGCGCTCCAAAGGGGCGTTGTGATTTTCTTGTAGCCAAGATGGGCCTTTTGCCAAAGACCTGCCTCGTCCTTGGCCTCGGCCTCGGCCTCTCGACGCATCTGAAGTCGGGCCCTGTTGATTTATGACGGTCGCGGTCAAATCTGTTTCCAAGCTTTCCATTTGCTTCATGACGTCTTGGGCAACTCTATCTCGGTCCAATACGCTATATTGCCTCCGCGCCACAGCACAAAAGGAAGTTCGTAGCTGAATACCCACGTCTGGCAGCAGATCTGAACAGCATAGCGGTAACACTGTATCGGCATCTGGTAGAGTATCTACGACACCGGGCATGTTTTCACGGCCAGGGCCCTCTCTTGCATGTTTCTCCTTATGTTTCACTGCCAAGTCATGTACAATCTCTTGCAGCCTGGTAGCGTTTGCTTGGGCGAGGGATGGACTTGGGCTTCGGTTGCGTCGTGCTTGGTTGTGATTACGGCGATAGTCATCAGAGGCAAGACCCAACCATGCCTTCTCCAATGCGTTATTGTCGCCTTCAGAGAAAGGCTGCGGCTTGTTGCTGGCTGACTTGGTGTCAGAAGAGCCGGCGATTTTGGCTGTTGATAGAGGATCGTCTATGGGTATCGGTGAGGTGTAGAAGAACTGGGCGGCGACAGGCGGGATCGCGTCAACACCACCACCACCACCACCTGGGGCGAAAGGGCGGACGACAGGCGCCAAACGACACTTTGGGCCATAATTGTGAGACTCAAGAGCCCGGGGATGGTTTCTTGTTGGCGCTGGCATGGCGAGGATGCTGTGGTGTCTTGCCCCCTCGGCTTGGTTCTGCTGTGCAATTGAGCGTCTAGGCTTCCCGATATGATGCCACAGGAAATACGCACTTTGTAGAGAGAGATATTTGTGCTATCGGCTGAGGAGCAGGGAGGACGAAATGGCACAAGACAGATGCTTAGCAGGCATGGCTTCTTGGCTCCAGGTTGGATGCCTGACTGGGGGTTGTTGGAATAATATTGGTAGAGGCGGCGATTGTATCAAGGTAGCTGCAACCAACGAGCGCCTTAATTCCTTTGATTCCAGCTAAACAGCCACATAACAGAACAGGTTTCGTCTCTGTCTCTTCGTCTCAGGCGGGCGGGAAGCTCATAATTACTTTGAGTAAAATTGCCCTGCAAGAGGCCGCAGCGCGCCGCGGAACTTGCTGTCGTGTAAGCAGACAAGGCAGAAGCAAAAAAGGCATGGTTTCGGCGGCGAGGTGCGAGATTAGGTACAGCGGAATCCTGTTATCGGGGTTCGATGAGGCTGTCTGGTTGGGCTGCATGTGGTGTCCTCTCATTCCCTTAGTGCCCGGTTCCGAACGTAGGTACATCCATATTGAGCTGCCGCCCACGAGCTGATGACGTGGGCGTGGCTCGTGCTATGATAGCTGGCAGCCTGGCACCCAATCCACCACTGATGTACTCTTGTGCATTTGGTTAGCTGAAAACACATAGGTCTAGTTACTAGTAGCAGTACGTAGTAGTGTACGAAGGAGCCCTGGAGGTACCCACTAAGTCTGCTATGTCAAATACGTCTGGCATGTGGTAATCTGTACATCTACACTAGTACGATGTGGAGATATGCATGTACGCCATGTAAGTAATTTCACATGACATGCCAAGATGCTGACCACTAACAACAACCCATACCAACGCCGAGTCAAGCTGGGCGAACATGATGCACTCTTTTTCTTTTCCCCTCAATCTTAGCATTATTCATAGAATGCAAATCAAACACGGCCATGAAAATCTCGGGTGTAAGGAAAAGAAAAGAGAGAATAGAAATAATGAGCAATGATGGTTCTTTGCTCAAATTTACAGGTCATCTTTGCGTTTTTCGCCAATATATAATACCTAGTATGTGGAAACGTGCAGAGAATTCTCGTTTATAGCTGCCAACAGTAAACGATCACCTGGCCCCGTGATATTTTATAGCGCCGGCCACCCTAGAGGCAAAATTCTGCCTTGATCGTTAATGATTATATAATAGCAAGTGAGAGAACCGTATTTTGTCCGTATAATTCGACTATTCATTTATTTGTTGCTCTTGAATATCACCCCCGATACATGAGCTCACCAAATAAAACTTTCTATCCATTAGTGATTAGTCTATGCGGCTTTTGGTCCCTTAATATCTCAGGAAAGGAGAATGAGTAATACCAAGTAAACTTGGCACTTCGTACAGGCACCATCCCAATGCCCGCCCTGAACCCCCGACGGTGGTTCACGTTTAGAGACTGAGAGAATCGGATCGCCCTTTTTCTGTTAGTGGGCTGCCACGATGATACGCTACTCTGCAACCCACTTGAAGCGGCCCGGGAATCGAATTACTAGCATAAGAGGCTCCACATGCATACTAGGTTAGTACCTTAGGTAAGTGACAGATGGCAAGCTTGAGGAATGAACAATTAACGTACCTAGTACTGCGTGTATCTTATATTCTCCCATAATAAGCATGGCTGTCGTTGTACACATCGTACCCAGGTTTCGATATTCTCCTCTCTCAGGGCTGATCATCTTATACACGACAGTTTACCTATGACTAAGACTGGGCACACCTAGGCGGCACTTTCACATATAGTTAAATCGGATGGTTAACACGCCCAGGTATTCGAATAGGATCAATGATTTTTATCCAACGAGGACAAGAAGATAAAAAGATATCAGACAAGGACAAGCAAGACCTTTGTGGATCTGAGGGTTATCTCGATGACCGTCATGCTTTGACATGGCATTCAGCCTGTCCGTGCGAGGCAACAGAGCGGCAACCCTAGCTCGAATTGGGGTCAAGGAAGCTTTTGCCGGATCGCCATGAACATCGGCGGCGCAGTCGTAGTCCCGAGTCAAGCAGATAAAGTCGGCATGATGTCGCTACTCAATTTCGCAGTTTTATGGTTTATTCTACTCGAGGGATTGTCATGTTGCAATATTGGTTTTGTGAGGATCTTTAACGCTTACCACAACTATTTTGAAGAAGAAAAAAATCGAGGAGGCAGAACTAGGATGAGCAAGACCAGACACATTCTCGCTTGGCCGTGCTTCGAGATGGGCTTTTCTCAATACATCAAGGTAGACAGCAATATCTGACGTTATTGGCCAGCCTCTGCATATTGTTAGTCGCCCCTCGTTCCCAACCTGCCTTAGCCCGTGCTGTGCAACCACTCATCTCGGGTCCTCCATGTGAGAATAGGCCTATCAAGGTTCGCTCTACCTTTGCCAGCGCCCATACTCATTTTCATTCGTAGTTTGCAAATGAACCTTGTTCTGGCGCATTGAGTAGCGGCAGACTCCGCATGGCATACACCATGGTTATTACTGTTATTTACGAGGAGAGGGGGATCACTCATGGCGACCGATGTCCGCCCAAGATAAAAAAAAATATATATATTTATTCTACATTACCATGTACCAGACAGGCCTGCCTGCCTCACTTTACTTTGGCAGCGACCCGAGCTTTGCAACAACCCCGTTTGGACAAGTCACTTACCAATAGTAACCTACTACTACATCATGCATATATGTCTATGAAACTTGTAGTCAAATATCGGCCACAATAATCACGTACTTGGAATAACAACAAGAGCAAGAGAACAGCAATTATAGTCTGGTATCAGTGTATGCTACAATATCCCCTTCACTTTATAGAATATTCACGCCGTTAAGAAGTATGAAGCCGTAAAATAAGTAGCAATTGGCCCATTCGTCGTGTCTCAAAGCTCGCCGGAGTTTCATCACCATTTCTGAGAGAGCCCACCGGTAGGGGGACGAGATTTCATTTGAATCTCAAGTCGAGAAATGCGTCGACATGGGCAAAGTAGAGAGCATGCCGATGAATCACATGGAGGAATACTTGAAATAGCGGCGGCATCAAATAAGCCGTCATGTAACTTGAATTGCTCAATAGCGGACCGACAGCAGCGAGTGTTCAATCTCAACGTTGTCAGTCAAATGTGGGAGTTGCCATGGCTGAAGTACAGTGTATTACAGGTAGCCACCATGTGGATCTCATATCTACTACTAATAACGAGGATATGTACCTTAGCTACCAGGAGTCAAGCCCCTCCCCCGCCCATGACATGGGGCCATCACTTTTAGTTATTACCATAGCTTCAGTACACAAGAAAAGAAGGGAGAGAGAGAGAGAGAGAGAGTATTAGGGTGTGCGACGCCGCCCCTTGTCTCAGACGACGCTGCAGATCATCTCCAATGAATAAACACTGAAGTAATAAAAATACATCAGGGTTAGGTGCGTAGCAGGTAGGTAGTGATGAGAATAGTAGCTAGGTACATTGCATTATCACATTATACATTAAGCAAGTGCTGCTGCTACTGCTGCGGGTTGGCTGGGCTCAGTGGTCGGTCGGTACAAAAAAGCTCCCAGTAGTCGCCGTCGTCGTCTTTCCATGCGCCACCTCAAGCCCAGCCCAAAGTCTAGCCCTCGAAGTTTTGGTTCTCTTGATTTCTTCTTCCACTCATTCTCCGTTGCTGCCCGTTTCAATCTCCACCCCGGTCAAGGAGGATTGCGCATCATAGACTGATCACCTACTTGTTACCTACTATTAACTGATTGCTTGTCGAGAAGAGAGGATCGAATCGTACTGTTTTGTTCTGCCTACTTGCACGTCCATACTTTCTTGCAAGACTCGACTTCTGTACCTGGTCATCACTGCTTCGTGTCGTGATCCCGTCTGTTGCCTGCTTTGGATTGTCCGAGCCTTATCGGCTACATTGTCTTCTCCTTCCATCCATTATATATTCATCTTTCCTACACCTATCCACCACCCTCCGGCCCTGGCTACCTTACCCACATTATCATCCAACCCTCGCCTACTGTCTACATTGGTACGCTGCTGTCTGTCCAAACTGACTGGGCGCTGCTGCTGTGTCCTGCACACCACTTGCTGACTAGGTAGGTTAGATACATCGTTATATAACAGGGGTCCAGAGCCACGATAAGATTGTACCTCCAATCACGCACAGCTCAAATGTATGAAACATTCCTGATATACCCTCCCCGCCTCCTCTCAAACTCTCTACTCCTACTCCTCCCGGCACCTCGCCTCTTCCAAATTCCATTCTCCACGTTTTCTTCTCTCTCTCTCTCTCTCTCTCTCTCTCTTATCTTTTGCTATCCCTTCTTTTCTGTGTTCGTAACTTCAATACGCCATCACTAATACTCGATGTTTCCATAGTCCGTCCTTGGACCGTTCGCACAACATAGTAGTAGCATATCTGCACCAAGACCCGCACACGGCGCCTCAAGCGCTTCGCTCAAGACTGACCTTGTAGCACCCAACGACTGCCGCCTACCCCGCGCACCGTTGGACGAAAATCGGTCGCGTGGCGCAACGAGGAAGAAAATAAGCAGTATAACTCAGGAGGGCGCATCCTGCCTCTCACCTTGGTTGAATGCTTTGATGCTATGATCCTGGGAATCGCTTCGCTTCTCGATTCATTTTCCCCCCCAAAGAAAAATACGGGCCGTTTGACCATACCACCCCACCGACCTAGGTAAACTCACCTGGCTACGCTAGCAGGGCAGCAACAGCAGCAGCACCTTTGGAGCTATGGCGACTATTGCGCTTCCCAGACCCATCGCGCCCCACCGATCTTCGTCTGGCATTGTGACACTGCCGGCGCCAATCACCCTCGACACGCAACAGCAGCAACAGCCGGTGCCAAATAAACACCTCCCAGTCTGTCCAACCGGACCAGCTCTCTCACAAGACCCAAACACTCCGCCGCCATCTCCTCTGCAAGAGGCCGAGTCACGCCAGGCGTCGCTGCTCTATCCCCCGGACAAATATATCAGAGTCGATTCCGGTCCGCTATCTTTGTATAAGATCAATGCTGCAGATGTTGCCGCTGCTTTGGATTATCAGTCCCGCCAGCCTCTTCCAGACCCTTCCCTTGTCTTTCCCTGGTTCCATGGTTTGCACCCGAGCAATCATGTGCAACAAGCCTTCTTCATTGCCCGGAGGAAAGCACTCAGAAGAACACCCGTCTGCCTGAGAGGCGTGACTATCGTCAAGGCTGATGGCGATCTCACTTGCGCAAAGCTCAAGGGCGCGATCGCCCCGGCCGACTTCCTACAACCTGGATCTGTCGGCCAGTTCTTGGACGTGGACCCGAAAGAGGGCTTCTCCGTCAGGAACTTTCAAATCCAGACGGCCAAATCCGCCATGACATCTGACGTTATCATCTATGGCGACAATGCCAACACCTTGCGAGATGTTGCCTGGAAAGTGGCATCGGCACAGGCTAAATGGCGTGAAAGGCACGAAGATCAGCGAGACACTATCCCACTTTACAGCACATTTATCTGCTCCTCCCCATTTAGCATCTTTGAGAAGGACCATGCCGAGATTGTGTCAATTGACGGGGCCGGTGAGCTCACCGGGGATGTCTTGGACTTTTTTCAGCAAGAGCGGCTTGAAATGTACGCCATGACCAAGGCATCCGAGATTTCAAGTAATGTGTGGCTAGGGCCGACACCTGAGCCATCCAGTGATGAAGAGCGTCAATATGACATTCTAATCGAGTGCAGCGATCTCGGTCGGCTCAACCCATCTCCTCTCCATGCTATTGCCAATGGCTCAGCCAATTGCACCTCGCAGATCTTCTTGGATTTTCCATCATCCGGCAGCATTCTCCCGCCGACCTGGTCACACGCCGATGCGGACGGAATTCTGGAGACATGCAAATGGATATGGCATATTTCTCACGGCACTTTACCTTCAAAGAATGAAATTGATGACGAAGGGGACACATCCATGGCCGAAGACGGTTCGATAGTACTGAGTCCTCCAGGACCCAAGAAGATTCTCATCCACTGTGCAGACGGCTACACCGAGTCAACCATGCTTGGTATCGCGTATTATAGCTACAGCACTGGTCAACCTGTACCCGATGCCTGGCTCAATTTGCATACAACGGAGAAGCGCAACTTCTTTGCGTACCCAACCGACGTCGCGTTGCTGACGGCCATATCCCCACGTCTACTACAAGAATCGCCTCTTTGTGCTGACAAGTCAATATCGGATATCAATGATATGATTCGTGACGAACCAAAGTGGCTGGCGAGTCTGGACGGTTCTTATCCGAGCCGAGTTCTCGATTACATGTACCTGGGTAACCTCGGCCACGCCAACAACCCGGATTTGCTGAGGGCGCTGGGGATAAGGCAGATCCTGAGTGTGGGCGAGACAGCCATGTGGAGAGATGGCGAGCTAGAGGCATGGGGATCGGAAAACGTCAAGATCGTCCAAGGTGTGCAAGATAACGGCATCGACCCATTGACAGACGAGTTTGAAAGCTGTTTGAAATTTATTGGTACGTCTCGCGAATCAGCCTTGTATACCTTCGCTCGAGACTGGTGAATAGACTGACTGACCTTCTCCAGATCGCGGAAGGCGTAACGGCACAGCTACCTTGGTGCACTGTCGAGTCGGGGTCTCACGGAGCGCAACCATATGCATTGCCGAAGTCATGCGCGAGCTGGGCCTTTCTTTTCCCCGGGCGTATTGTTTCGTTAGAGCCCGGCGGCTCAACGTTATCATTCAGCCTCATTTGAGGTTCGCCTATGAGTTACTCAAGTGGGAGGAGGTATTACAAAGCCGCAAAGCATCATCGACCGACCACCGCCGTGGACTATTCAAGCGGGAGCTCGAGTGGTCAGAAATCACTCGGGAAATCGCACTCATGAATCGTCCATACGCCAGGTAACTTTGACTATTGGCTTTCCTTACATTTTGTTCAAGGCTGTGGGTAGCATATTTTTCCAACCGCATAAAAAGTGGTGAAACCCGCTGCGGAAACCAAGATTTCCAGGCTTTACGACGATCACGACATACACCCAAGTGTTTACATACCTTCGCTATTACGGTACGATGGCCCAAGCAGGCATTTTGACGACGCATTTTCTCTCTGATTATAATTTCTCGGCGGGTGGCATATGATTGCACTTCACTTCTCGTTTTGCTAGTCACAATCCGGATGGTATTCTCGATCTGGAAATTTTGGACAAATTTAAGTATGAATCATATCGGCAGCTTGGGCTTTTTTTTTTTTTTTTTGTCATGGACAGGCTGTTCTATTCTCGTGGATTTGAGATGGATCCTTGCATTAGGGGTAGTCTTGCCATGGTATTTGGATTTGTCACTTTTTGTCCGGAGTCAATAGGCAGAACCTTGGATTTGACAGCAACCTACCACTCGAAATGGCGTTGTTGATATTAAGTTGGCGGGCGAAGAAAGAGGCCCGATGCCAGATAGCATGTCTATAATGATTTCGTCGTTTACCGGATCCATTGACTTGAAAATATATACATATATGTAACACGGCAACCGGCTAGCGTCTCTGCGAAATATCCCTGATTATCTTGAAGATTGACTGTTCATACTAATCCACGCAAGAAAGTTCGAACACACGTCTACGGTTGTAGATATAAAGGTATCTAGGCTGACGTCACGCCGGGAAGGGGGGGTTTCGGGAAAAAGAAGTCCACTCCTACAGGCTGGACGCTTGCTTTATGTAGAAAGCCTGTCGATATATCAAGATGAAAGAATCAGATCTTGTCATGGCCACACGACCTCATTGATTTCAAATGTACGGATTGGGTAAAAGCAATACTTGAATGTCCCAATCAATAAATAATGCTAAACCCATGTCTCCCCCAGTAGGGTATTAAAAATAACTGAATAAGGCGCCAAACGCTGATGCATACATGTTACAAGTTGAAAAGAAATGGGAGGCGAGCAGGCTGCAGCTCACTCACTCACATCATCATGGCGTCCCGAGCGACAGTCGATAGACCAGGCCCAAACAAGAATGGCTGTAGGAAGCCGCCTCGTCCTGGTTAAATGTGCTTGCCAAGCGGCCAACTTTTTACGTCTCGTGACTTTACGGATCCAGTTTGTCATCAATGTCAAGAACACTATCATAATCATGTTAGTTTGACACAAATTATGGCTGGGCTGTGGCTGTTTAATGTTAATTACGTACGAGAATTGCTTCACCAAGTATCCTTCTCCGCCCTGCTCCATGTCAATGTTGAAGACATAGAAACCGCCATCAGATGTGACAACCATGACCTGAGGGCTGCTGCTAGACATGGCAACGACACTCCTCCCCGCGCCCTGTCTTTGGGGGGGCCTCGGAATCTTGATGTGCGCAAAGTCACGCTGCGGTTCCCACATCTCATTAAAGGTCTGCGGAAGATAGTTGCCCACGACGCCTGCCACCCTGCTGCCCATAATTTGCGAGGATCGCCGCAGGATGCTACTAAACGAACCGCTCTGCCTCCTATTCGTGGGCGGTGGGTTGGACGCCTCGGCGGCATCACTGCGTGGCGAACCGGTATTGCTGCTCGGCGAGTCGTTGCCGCTGTCATAGCTCCTGCCTCTGGTGACACGGTCCCGGGAAGCCTCAGCCGTCGACGGGGGCCCTGGCTGCTGTAACCGGAAAATGTGGATTGTGTCGGTTGTGGAAGAGACACACAGGAGCGAGCTCGTGGCATTGAAGGACATACTTGAGATGGTGCTGGGATAAGTACCGCGCCGAAATTGAAACAGCTTCTGGCCGCGCGGCACGCTGAAGACGCGGATGATGGTGCCAGTCTCGCTCGCCGTGGCCAGAAGATTGCCCTCATGGTTCAGGGCAACGCACGACAAGGGCGACTTGTGGGCCTCGATGACGTTGACGGCCTTGAGGGTCAGTGTGTCGTAGATGAGGACGTCGCCCGAGGTGACGGGCGTATAGAGTGAGGCAGGAGGCGCGTGTGCAGGGCGGCGGTCGGAAGCGCCTCCGTCTTCTCGCGGTTTCGGCAGCGGATAGGCCAAGTAGCAGTTCTCTGACGAGGGCGAGAGGGCGCAGATGGCACCAGGGTTGGGCGAGGTGGGTATACTGGTCAGGAGGGACATGTTTTGAATGTCGTACAGGTAGATCTCATCCTCGAGCACGACGGCCAGGCGCTTCCGGTTGAGGCGGACGGCCAGTACGGCCGAGGGAAAGGTGAGCTCGCAAATAACGGAGGCGCGCTTGGTGTTTTGGATTATCAAGTGGCGGGGCGAGAGGATGAGGGCGACGAGGGAGGTGCTAAAGAGCATCTCGATAATGGAGACACTACCATCGTCGCTGCTGAAGATCTTGGAGAAGGGATCGGTGTGGTAGATGCGAAAGCCCTTGCCGGTGCCTACAGCCAGACAGCTGTGATCCTGGTTAAAGGTGATGAAGTTGAGCGAGGTGGGAGTTGAGCTCGCCATGGTATACAGCCGGCGGGCGGCTCGGGGGTGATTGGGTGATCGGTTTGGTCAGCGCAGTCGGTTGTTTGGAATTCGGTTGGCAGGCAAGTAGTAAAAATGATGCAGCAGCAGCAGCAGCAGCAAGTATCTCGCCCGCTCTCAGTCAAGCAAGTCGGTGAGAGTCGTCAGAGACGGAGAAGTATTGTCATGGTTAGTTTCACCGATGAACCAGACAACAAACAACAAGAGCCTCGTGACGGTCGGAGGAAGGAGGTCTCGAGTGCCGATGGGAGCAGGCTACAAGAGCACCAGAAAAGCAAAGTCTATTGAGTGTAGGTATTCATCTGTTGGGTGGTTGGTGATGGCGAAGTGGGGGGTTGAATGGCAATAAGGCCTCAGAGCTCCGACCCCCTCCCTACCTACCTACATACCTTGGGCTACCTACCTACCACCTTGCCTAACCTAGGTACATATGTACTGTAGGTAGCTTAGCTTACCTTAGCTAGCGATCAAGGTGGGGTGAGGGAGGGGAGCTCTTCACTCAGGTAATGTAGCCCTTGAAGATGTGGTACAGAGAGTACCGCTACCAGTCGCCAAGGTCAACTGTCTACTATGTGTGTTGGGTCACTATTCCAGTATCTAACCTATCTAGATATCTTGTCTGTCTACCCCGAGTAAGCCATATTTATACATTGCGTGGCTTGTGCTTAAGATATGGCTTGCAATAGGTATGAGTTGATGTGTCTACGTTCGTCGCAGTCGCGTCGTCGATTGTATCATGCTTGGCGAGAAAACGGACAATTAATCGATTGCAGGGGGCTCCAGGTCGTCTTCATCCGACATATGAGTAGCTGCTGTAGTATACGTACCACTTGATCTACCACGAGCCAGCATCACGAGTCCACTATAAACTCAACCCTAGCCGCTCACGTCTTTGACCATCTCCACTCATGATGAAAGAGAACTCCTACTTATCCCGCGTGTCAATTTGCATGTATCAAGTACTACATATGCGCATTGTAGTGTAAGAATTTACTGGCAGATAAGTAGTAGTGACGCTGTCTGCCTTCTTTGATCATCATCGCCGCCAGAGTCAAGTGCAGTGGATTTTCAAAATTTCTATAATACTTTAGAAACTCTCCTTTCTACACTGGGCTTATTCTTAAAAGCCGTGGTGCATGAAACAAATTACTAGCCAAGCGAACAAGGAATTTATGAGAATATATAAATGACTTGTATTCATTACGATGCAGCTGTTCACAGCTTTCTGGCATTTGTCTCAGTCCTCCAGTCTGTCGAGTACAAAAGAGGTGTGGAGCACATAACTCACGGATTGACACCTGATAGGCTGCTTAGGTAGTAGGTAGGCTGTAGCAAAGATCAAATTTCACAACCTTCGAGTTGTGAATATTCTTGCCTGCCAATTTCGCATGCGTTTGGTTTGTGTAAGTATTGCAGCCATCCAAGACGCCAGTTCCGAGGAACAAAACTCTTATCCAAGGTTGCCAAAAAAAAAAGACGAATTGAAAATGCTACCAATGTAGGACATGTTGCTTCCAAGCAGTGTCTGTATAAGAGAAAGAAAGAAAGACACTGAAAATTTTCCCAAAGAGCCCGCTCTCCTTCTTGCCCTGCCTCCACGCAGGTGCGCCTTGGGTAAGAAATCCCAAAGCTGGACGTGTAATAGTCACACTTTTCGCATACCTCCTGGACTTTACCTAAGAACATAATCCTTTTTCGATTCTCTACTCGCGGCTGTCGCACGACTACTCCAGCCCACCATGGCCAAAAAGAAGCCCGAAGGTCGGTCTCCCAGGGAGCGGGCCCTGGATGACTTGGTCATGTCTGTAAGTGGCCTCTTCACACCTCCTCGTTGAGTTCATGTCCGACTTTGGTCCATTTGCAGCTACGAATCTAATCAAGTCTCATCTCTCCACAGACGAACAGTAGCAGTATTGTATCCAAGAGAAGTGTGGAACGCATCTATTATCCTGACGAGCCTCACTTCTTTCGCTTCTTTGTCAAGAAGTTTCAGCGGCGCTCCCCCCTCATCAACCGTGGATACCATATTCGACTTCACGTCATTGACGTGGCTGTAAGAAACTTTCTCCGGAAGCCTTCGCTAAAGCGCAAAGTCGTCATCAATCTCGGCGCTGGATTGTGAGTTATCGACACCCCTTCTGACTGCGCTCGCTCTTGGCTCAGACTCACTACTAACATGACAATACTCATAGCGACGTGCTTCCTTGGCAGTGCATGACCAGATACCCGGATTCGTGCAAGAATGCCAGGTTCATCGACATTGACTTTCCAGATCTCATGGAGAAAAAGCGCAAGGTCATACAGGAGACGACCGAGCTCAATTCGATGCTGACCCGCCTCGATGTCTCCAAAGACCCGCTGGTGTTCCTGCAAAGTGACGAGTACATACAAATGGGTTGCGACCTAAGGGATCTCGACAAGATACAACAATCCATCTCCCAGCTAGTGGATCTTGAGGATTGTGAATTCATCTTCGTTGCAGAGGTTTCCATCACATACATGGAAACGGTAGCCGCCGATGCCGTCATCAAGTGGGCAAACTCGCTGGGCCAAGGTAATCAAGTCTTTCTCTCTTCCACATTGGGCCATCTCGTGCTAAGTCCAATGTAGCCGAGTTCTGTCTGCTGGAGCAGATCTTACCTGATGGTGCCGAGCATCCCTTTGCTGAAACCATGTTGCGCCACTTCGAGAAGCTCAAGACTCCTCTCAAGTCGGTACTAGCCTACCCAACCCTGCAGTCGCAGAGAGACCGCTTTACTCACCTGGGCTGGTCAAACGTGCACGTAGAAACCCTTTGGAGTGCTTGGTCCTCTGCTACATATCTAACTACAGAGGACCGAAAGAAACTCAACGGCATTGAGCCATTTGATGAGTGGGAGGAGTTTGCCGTGTTTGGTGGTCATTACTGCGTTGTCTCGGCCACAAACAGGTTGAAGCAAAGTCAGGGCCAGACAGAATGTGCGGCAGACAGTCTAGCCCAGTCATCCTCAAACCTACCGTCAGTTGAAGTTGAAACCGAGTTCGGCGAAACCCCACGTACCTGTCAACGACGGTTTGGAGCATCAATGTTGTTGCAAGACTACACCGGTCAAGAATACGCTGCAAATCTCTTTGGTCTCGGAAATACCAGCCGTTTGTCGTCTGTCGATCTGTACGGCCAAGATTCAGCGACGGTCGACATGAAACCAACTGGGCCTCCAAGTAGAATGTGCCATACCGTCGTCGACCTCGGACTCCATGGAAACATCCTGATTGGAGGCCGGGCATCTCCGTCCGCTCCGTTGAAGGACTCGTGGGTCTTTGACAAGGTTCGAAAGTCATGGCGGAAGGATCGCGATCTCCCAGTGCCTCTATATCGACATGCAACGACGAGGCTCGGGCATTCAAGCTTAGCTCTTACCATCGGCGGCAAGACCGGGCCGTCCACAGTTTACGAAGGCTGCCTCCTCTACGTTCCCGATAAAGGCTGGCTAGAATGTGAAATCCTCGGACAACCCCATGCACCAGTATTTGGCGCCGTCGTGGTCAGTATCACTGGCAACCGATCAAGCGCCTTTGGTGGTATCCTGCTGGGAGGTCTACTCGAGGATGGTGTCCTGGCTAGGCAATATCTACGGTGGAATCTTTCGATAACTAATCTGGAGAAACCCACGATCTGCTTCAGCCCAATCACAGCCCAAGATGAGCAATACGGTCTGTTGGATCGGTTTGGAGCTACTGCCGTCGCGTATAAGCCCGGTCGGCTTGTCATCATTGGCGGAATCGTCAAGGGACAGGTACTGGACCACAGCCATGAAATATTGCTCGTTGGCATCTCGGACGAGAGTCTAAGCATAGTATCTACCTGTCAAATAGACGTTAGCTCAACGTTACCCAGACCTGTTTTGCTTGGGATATCCACCGTACAGGATGCACAAGGTCGTGTATTGCTCACGGGTGGTGGTGCAACCTGCTTCTCCATGGGGACGTACTGGAACAATGGCTATTATGTGTTGGGCTTCAACGACGGCTATACTGGCACGTTACCTGCGCCCGTCGAACAACTGCCGAAATGGACATTTGCTCAGACACTCGAGCTCACCAGCACCCCGGTACAATACAGGACTGCCGACTCAAGCGCTCGGGATGGACGGCCTGAAGTACAGACACTACCGAGAGTCAAGCTGGCATCTTCTGCCGAGTTTGACAAGATCTTGAAGGCTGGCCAGCCTGTAGTCATTGAGAAAGCAAATCTAGGTAGCAGCGTATCGACATGGACACCCGAATACCTCGTTTCCAAGATCGGCAGGGGTCGAAGTGTCGTGGTACACGAGTCTACCACCGCCAAGATGGACTTTAACTCCAAGAACTTCAAGTACGTGACCAAGGAGTTTGGCAGCTTCGTAGACGAGGTCCAAAAGGGAGGCCGCATGTATCTGCGCGCGCTTTCCGAGGAGAAGCCGGCCGACAGGCCAGCCAATCTTGCCGAGGACTTTCCGAGCCTGGCAGAGGACTTTGTACTACCACCAGAGGTTTCTTTCGTTGCGGACAATACATTTAGTTCCGTGCTTCGGATTTCCGGCTCGGTGAATATGTGGCTTCACTATGACGTGAGTTTCCCATGTCCCACTAACTTTCCCCCCTATCGCTTCTACCAGTGTCATCCAGCAGGTCCTAACGCCGCATTTACATACAGGTCATGGCAAACATCTACTGCCAGATAGCTGGCACAAAACGCCTGGTACTCTTCCCGCCAGCTGATGTCACGGAACTTTCCTTTGCGCCGGGAGCTTCGAGCTCTAGCTTGGACGTCTTTGCGGAGCTCGACACGGCCTCGCTGGCCAACACTCGTCCTCATGAAGCCATTCTCGAGCCGGGGGACATTCTTTTCCTCCCTCCGCTCTGGCTTCACACGGCTGCCCCCGTGAGCGGTCTAGGTATTGCTGTAAATGTCTTCTTCCGCAATCTGGAAGGAGGTTACTCAGCCGGCCGGGACGTGTATGGCAATCGTGATCTTGCAGCCTATGAAAAGGGTCGTCAGGACGTCACCAAGATGGCCAGCGCGTTTGGCAAAGTTCCCGTGGAGATCAGGGAGTTTTATGTAAAGCGATTAGCTAGCGAACTATTACAGAAACTCCATGAATGAGTCGTTTCGACACCAAGTTGGCGATGCTGAAGGACGACCGATGCATGAAAATCTCGAGTAGACAATATACATTCAATGCCATTGACTCAAGTTCACAAGCATGGAAACGAGTACGAACATGACTTTGACCGTTGTGAAAAATGACAGCGGAACTAGACAGCAGATAAATACTCCATAGATAGTGCTCTTGGTATCTACAGTAGCCTTCTACCTTTTCCCCAACTTTTGCCTGAACCACTGATACCCCTTGTGCAATTGATGTCCCAGCTTTTCGTTGGTATCTCGTGCATGTTCCAGACCGCCTCTCCGAAGACCGCCAGGGATAGTTATCCACAGCAGGAAGATAAAGACGAGAATTGTGAGAATGATGGGCTGCAACACCTCGACTCCTTTGCTAGACGCAATGGCCCCAACGGCGAACGGGAAAACAGCCGCTCCTCCACCGCCGAAAGCTGCGGCAAAGCCAATGGCGGATACGTGGTAATCGCTGGGCAGCAGCTTGGTTGCGGCGACAATGGCAGCAGGAAATAGAGGACCGAGAAAAAACCCTTCGAGAGCCACGAATACGGCAGAGGCGACAAAGCTCGGAATCAGCCAGTATAGAATTTGCAGCGCTGTTGAAAGCACGAGATAGATGGTTATGGCAAGCTTTTCTCCAATCCTCCCAGTGACGAAGCCTAAAATCACGCGTCCAACAGCCAGGCCGAGCCAGAAGAAGGTAACGGTCAGGCCAGCCTGAAAAGCTTCGGCGCCCCTCACTACCAGCATAAAGGTCACAATCCATCCTCCGAGGCTGACCTCGGCCCCTACATAGCCGAGGAGGAAGAAGGCCACGAGCCAGACAACGGGCGATTGCATGACGGTCCGTGTCGTCGTCCGCACACCGCCCGTAGCCTCTGCATGCGTGGCTCTGTAGACGGCGCCCGTCGCGCCCCAGAAGACAGTGGTCGTGAGGATTAACTCGAGCCCGGCTAGTCCGATCATTAGGTAGTAGTACTGATACCATTGCAGCCCACCCTTTGTGACCATGGCCGTGGCGACGAGCGGGCCGATTGTAGCTCCCAGCCCGTAGGAGCCATGCAAAAACCCCAGTAACTCATTTGCGTTTTCCATGTTTCCTATCCAGGCATTCCACTAGATGATAGAGAGGTCAGCATTCTCCATGAGTAAATCGGCCACAAACGACATCCTCATGTGGGGCAAGAATCAACACGCGTGTGCGCGAGTGAGTGAGTGTGTGTGTGTGAGTGAGTGAGAGACAGAGGGAGAGAAACGACATTGCTGCAAAATGCTTGCTTACAGCACTGTCCTCGATACCGTTTCCGAACCCGGGAAACAGCATGATCGGTGGCAACGCTGCATAGGGTGGATGCAGACACAGTGGGATATACCCAATCAACCGGGCCAGGGGAGCAAGGACAGCGACGCCACGCTGGCCCCAATGATGGTGTACGAGATTGTTGGTGAGAGCGGCAAGGAAATAGCCGACAAAAGACGAGAGAAAGAGGAGCGAGACGAGCGTGTACGAAATGCCGTAATATGGCTCAATATAGGGGATGAGCGCCCCGACGCACGCATCATTCATGCCCATGAGAATGAAGGAGTAATTCGTGACAATGAATCTCCAGGCGTTGATCTGTGGGTCGTTCCATCGTTCCAGCGAAGGCCTTGGCTGCTCGTCTGTGCCTTCGTCTTGATCGGTCAACTTTTCCACGTCCTTGTTGTCATGGTGCGGGCCGGGCAGATTTGTTTCCAGATTCCGACTTGCATCCGGCGGCGGCTTCCCGATCGCTGCTCCGAAAGTCTCCGCCGACATGCTTCAGGACCAGAGTTTGGACCGGCTTGATCTAAATGATGTTGCTCCCGTACTCGTCTCAACTTGACCTGCCGTTTCGTCTCTTTGTGAATCAAGGTCAAACATTGCGTAGCTGCAAAACGAGAGAAGGATGTATGCCCTGGCCGGGGGTCTCGTTCCGTCTCGTCCCTCATACCATGTAGGTTACCACGCTAAGGCCGATGCCGGCAACAGCCCGGGGATACGAACTGCGCTTCGGAGCATGTTGTATGTAGTGCATCACCAGTACCGTCTGTGCCTGTCGGAGGGAGAATTGGTTGCATTCCTGTTTCGTACATCACCTGTCTATCATCTGCGTGCCAAGGCTAATCCTCGTTTGCTAATAGGTCGAACATAGGCCAGATGCGGAGATGGTCATGGTCACGACCGAGGATTCGCCAGCACACAAGGCCAGGCACGCGCTGCTTGTGGACAAGACGAATGGGAGCAGGAAGAGACAGGAGGAAACGTTGGCAGTTTCTGGCACTTTACAGATGCATATCGCTTTCACAGATTCATGCCTACTAGGTAGATATGCATGTCTGATATCTGAAAATTTAAACAACCTCGAAGCGGTCTATCGGCAATGAAAAGACGATTTGTTATACAGCAATCGCATCTTGACAAACTGCCGACGCAATCGTCAAATTGTTTAATCCTGGGTATCAGTACATAGTGCGTTCATATTGGTGCGCAGAAGATCATTCGACAGATAACTAGGTGTTCTTCTTGTATGACTAGTAGATAGCCTGCGCCACTGCTTGGATCCGTAACACATTCACCCTTCAACAACGTCTATGGCTTCACCTCAGGCCGGAAATACTCATGCCACGCCATCAATTTCCATCATTTCTCTCTCGTCGTCTTCGTCCATGTCATAGTCGTCATCAAGTGCCATGACGGCAGCTTGTTGTTGCGACCGGACCCGCTGGGCCATGGTCTCCTCGTGTTCTCTCTGGAGTTCGGCAATGTGCTCCTCGTCCATCTGCGCCTGGTGTTTTCTCAAGTCGTCAATGCTCCAGGTGCTTATCCCTTCCTGGTCCTTGGAGCGGAAGGGTTGTGCCATGTCACGCAAGAAGCGCTTTGCTGCTAGGACGGCCATATCCGTCGAGAGATTAACGTCAACTTCCTGCATGGCCTGCTCAATCCACTTGGGTAGCTGGTCGCGCTTCTTTTGGAAACGACGGTCAGCCAACACCATGATACCGTAGTCGTCCTTGCCTCGCAAGACACGTCCCAAGCACTGGGCGGCATGTCGCATGGCGTCAAAGGACAAGAAGTCGTTTTCGCGGATCCGGTACGTCTCCCGTAGAAACTCCAACCGAGCCTTGAGGATTCGAGATTCCGTGTACTGAAACGGCACGCCCATGCACAGCACAGTCCGTCCGTAGTGGTGGTCGAAATCGATACCTTCCGACACCTTGCCACGTGCGACACAGAGAAGCACAGCACCACGGCCGTTGCAGCAAGCAGTGCGGTAAGTTTCTAGCGCTAATGACGTCTCCTGAGCGTCGGGCGTCTCGACCAGGATCAGCTTGTACTTCCAGACTTGGTCGAGAATGCCCATTCCTTGCCACATGCTAATGATGGACTCCATGTAAAGGTAGGATGGGAAGAAGACGACCATTCCGTCGGGCGTGACTCGGGCAAACTCGGTCAAGAGGTTTCCGTAGTTGCGCACCACACTGGGCTCGTTTCGCACCTGGAAGCTCGTCGACACGGGCGCCTGATCACTCCCGCGAGTGACGATCATGGGCAAGAAAGACTTGCGCGCTAGCGTCATTGTGTAAGATTGCATGATCACGGCGCTGAATCCGAGCATCTTTGGGTACATTTCCAGCGGGGAGATGGTGCCCGAGGTGATGATGACGGAACTGAACCGATCAAAAACGGGCTTGATGGCAATGGCCGCATCCAGGCAGGTGAAATGGAGCACCGGATTCGGTACCTCTGCGGTATCCGATTCAAATGGTTCGAGTATGAGCAAGAAGCCCTTTTCGTAAGTCGCCACAAGGGTTGCAAAAGTGGCAACCTCTTGCAGGGTCTGGTAGTCTTCAATATTGGTCAGTTCAAGGGTCCGGACCAAGGATGTGAGTCGCTCGGCACAAAACCGAAGGGGCTTCTTTTCAATAAATGTGTGCTCTCTCAAATGGTCGAGGAAGAAGGTGGGTGTCTCGGACGTGACCCTTCGGGTTTTCATCCGGCTCTTCAGGTACTCGATGAATCTCTTGAGAAAGGCGACAAAATGCTCCGCCCGACGGATGTTGCCTGGCACGGCCTCTTTCAGCAGATCGTCTGGTAGCACGGGGTTGGACATGAAGGCATCTTCCTGTCGTGCTTCATCCTGATCCCGGAGACCCTCGACCAGCTTTTGATATTCGCTCTCCAATTGTGCCCGGTCTGTCTCTCGCATCTCGTTGATCTTGCGCTCCAGATTCTGCGCACCTCGGGTCGCTTTCCGGAGCGAATCCTCGGTGATGTCTTGGCTGAGGGACTCGATGCAGACGTTGTCTATGTTGTGCGCCTCATCAAAGACAACGATGCAGTCTTTTGAGAATTCTTTCGACACTCTCTCGGCAATCTTGGGGTCTAGGAGGTAGTGATAGGAGTAGATGATGACGTTGCAGTACTGCATCATGCGCCTGGCCGTGAAATAGGGACACTGCTTGTGATCTTCTCCATATCTGAGGAGGCCTTCCAGTGTCCAGACACCATTGGGGATTAAATTATGTGGTTCCAATAGATCCAGGTTATCGTGGTAGACACAGACGTCGACGTTCTCGCCCTTTTCCTTCTTCTCCTTGACAAAACCCGCCGTCAAGCTCCTGCACCTGGCATCAACAATAGCGCCACTCTTCTCGCGCTTGACCGAAGGGTGCAAACACAGGTTCTTTCTGCTGGTCAAGCCTAGCCCGCGGAAATCCTCGGCGTGGCCGAGTTCTTGGGTACGAAACTTCATCAGAGCCTTCAATTCGGCCAGTGCCTTTTCGATCTCGGACATTGTACGGGAACAGTAGATGAGTTTTCGGTGCTCCGGATAATGCTGTTGGTAGGCTACAATGAGCGACAAGAGAGAGACGGTCTTGCCAGTGCCTGAAGGCATCTCTAGCACGCAATGGCCGCCAGCATCCAGAGTCTTTTTCAGGTCGCACATGTAGGCATACTGTTCCGGATACACCCGCGGATACGGGAACAGCACCGGGAGGTCATCGATGAAGAACTTCATGCTGGCGGCTGCACGGGTGTTGTTCCCGGGGGTCTGGTTAGGGTCGCAGAGGCCACAAGCGACATGCGGTTATGTAGGTTTGAATACCTTTGATATTCGTAAATGTCGTGATTCCCTAGCCGTCGGTCTGCCTACGAGCAGCAGAGGTGGAGGCAACTGCGCAAGGTGCTGCCGCATAAGGCACAAGCCAATAAAATGGGCGAGGGAATGGTGAGGACAGTGAAAATACAGAAACAGGCGGTGGCGGATATTGAAAGTTGGTGGTGGGCCAGTGGGAAATGGTGCAGAAGGTTAGAGGCCCGTCCAAGTCCTGGTCTCCTTCTTGCTGCCGGAAGGAATTCTTTGTGATGCCCGTCTAATCTGAGAATTCTCTTTTTTTTTTGTCCCTCTTCCCCTTTTTGGAGGCGTTTGTACCCGATCTCGAGTCTCGGCAGCATCCAGCCCCGCTGTATCTCCTTGTCACTCCCTTCGCTCACTCACAGGCCGCTGGAGGCCAGGTTCAAGGTTGAGCTCATCCAATTTCCCGCCCAGTCCCAGTTTGCCGGATGGCGCCGCAGCCTCAAAGTGCTCGGCCACAAGTTCCTGTGCTTTATAGTACCATGTACGAGTATTCTCCAGCTCTGCTTGGGGTTGTGCTATGTGGGTGGAATGTGCCAAAGTCGTTGTTTGTGTAGAGACAAACACGATTTGGATGAATCATTAGCTGGCGCCTTACTGGTGGTTTGTTTTTGGCGGCGCCACATTTCGGGGGTGTCGGGCTGCCTAGTGCAGTACCTGATGCACCGCCACCAGCTCCCATTTCAAGCCACCCACCACCTTGCTTTGTGGGCAACTTGATGTGCAGATAGGTACCTAGGTACCTTCTTACCTACGTGATAGTTATCTCTCAAGGTTATGGCACGAGCATCACTACAACTCTTGATCAACGCTGCATCAAGTCTTGCGGGCGTCAATTCAACTCGATCTCGTCAATGGCGGGAATTGGAATAGAATACGGGAGACTGGACATGAGTTTTTGTGAAAAATGCTGTAGCATAACATGCAGTAAGTAGGCTTGTTAGTAAAAACTCCAATATTACCGAATTCCATGTTTCTCTCTATCATCCACTGCAACTCGACATGTATATGCCAAAATACCCTGCATACTCTGGACGCTCTGAAAAAAAACTTCGGGAGTCAATGACATGTTTCAAGCTCCACGTCTTCTCACTTTTGGCGACTTATCCTCGTTGGAATATGTTCTGCTGGAGAGTCTCGACTGCCGGCACGTTTGCGAAGGGCCATGGCGATGTCACTGCTTGACCGACTTTGTGGGCTTCCACATTACTTCTAGAATAAACGTCTCCAAGATCGTCTGTGCGCGAGTGTGCCTGTACACTATGTGGTGTACATGTGCGGTATCGATGTTGTGCGTGAACAGAGCCCTATCTGCGGAGCTCGCGCGCTCTTGTTCTGCTGCATACATTGAGCTCCATCGCCGGAAGTTGCTTCCGACAGTCACTACAAGAAAAACATGACTAGCAACAATAATACCTCTGCGGCTCTGCGGCAGCCCTATCCAGTGAAAACTCAAGGCAGCAGCTGTGGAGTAGGCAGGTATGTGAGAATATTGCTACTGTTCACATGTGCCATTCGATAACTGCGTGGTTGGGGGGAAACGATTGCCGTGCTTGGAGGAACGTTTTCATTCTCTTTCCTTTCCCTGCTCCCTTCGGCACCGAGATATCGTCATCTTTCAGGAACAGGGTGTGCCTCACAAAATGACTTCCCTTTCAATTGAAGTAAGAGGACAAGAAAAATGAAAGTTGTGCAAGTCAGTAAAAGAAGAGTATCAGAGCATAATGTTATTTACAGGCACGGCATTGTCCTTCCTCCTGATCTGACGTGAGAACTGCCGCCACCACTCGTATCATACAAAACATCCTTAGCGATATACAGTACAACAGCCTCTGTTAACGTGGCTACAGGGTTTTCCTGTGATGATGAGCTGCAACATTAAATTGAACATGCAAATTCTTGTTGGACTGTTTAAATCGGGAGTTTTGAGAAGGAATGTGCTTGGAGCTCATTGCTAATTCGCTCGATCACAGTGTGCCGACTAGCACAGCACAACCTTTTTTTTTTTTCATGATTGCCCTTGAATTATTTCCAGCTATCATCTATATCTATGGGCAGTTTGTTGTTGTCCTACTAAGCTGGATTATGGTGTTCATGGTAGGTTCTGAGGCGGCTTCTGCACGATGAATAACGGAGACCCTAGGTCGGTCTCTGTGTAGACAGTTAATAAACAATATCAGAAGAGAATCGAAAGCAGTCATTAGACTCATGATGAACGCTGAGTTGCTTCTAATTACCGTCAGGCTCTGCAGCCTGAACCAGTAGATGGGCTTGAAAAACATGGATTGGTGATTGAGGAATTAGTTGATGAAGCTCCCATCAAAGATATTGTAGGTCTAAACATTCTCATTGCATTGGGACTTGGTTGGATCCTCTGGGGGATGCCGACATTCAAGACGGCACTTTCAGGCCTGGCGCTGCAGTCATTGGCGCATGATGTAAGTACTGTACTAGGGGCCCAATACAAGTGCTCCAAGCCTCCAGAGCAATGCCACAAGCTTGACATGATGTGATGATATGATATGACTAATTTACCCAACAGCCGCGATTAGTGATTATTTTGGTGAAGAATGGGGCAGTAAGATCCTGGTCCTGCTACTTGTTTGTTTGGAAATCATTCCTCAAACCAAGGTAAATATTCACAGAGAATTGCAGAGATAGTAACTAGCTACCTGGGTGGGAAAAACTTTTTCTATTGCAAGCACAAAACGACGTGGGAAAACCCGGCTAGATTTGGGACTATGATTTGCATGATATGATTCCCAGGATGTGAAGAGGAGTCATTGAGATTGATATCCTAATGTAGCTACCATTGATTTTGTGTGAGCACCAATGCGTAGACTAGGAACGGAATCTACTTATTTGTTCTAGTGTTACCCAATTTATACCTATACTAGTGTGATACCACGCCAGTCTCTCTTGTCCTTTTCACCGGCCGGCCCCAGCTTCCATTGCTGCAAATGTTCGGACTGTGGGCCGGGCGCCCCCTCCCACCCCCAGCCCCCTGTAATGGGTCCTGCGCAGTACTTTTTCACTAGCCTTCATCCACTGGTAAGTACTAAAATCCTCCCGGGACGACAAGCTGCGGGGGTGCCAACTGCGTCCTCGTTGCGGGTACAAGCCTGTTAGCGTTATGTATGGGCAAGTGCCTAGGTAATGTAGGTACTTGGTACTCGGTGGTGTTGTCACCTGCCTCAAAAACTACCCATCACACAGTATCTAAAGTGTGTATACTTGCATATCCGTGTCGACGTCTTGTTCCGAGACGGATCACGTTGATGTCTTTCTAAAAGGCCCAGTCATTTACCAGAGGGAGTGAGGCGTTGCAGTGATACCTGGAAGACAAGATGAATACAGTAGTAGTATTGTGACTGAGCCCGACCGACCCGATCCTAGGGTTACGCGCCGATGATACGGCAGTGCCAAAAATAAAAACATGCGCACCCATTTCCCCTCCACCGTCGATTCTTGCATGCATGCATATGATCTGATCATTCCCGGCCTTTTATACTCCCACACACGGTAGAAGCCAGGGACTGATGTTGGATCCTTGGACTGGGGGAAAAAAAAAAAAAAAAAAGTCTTCAACTACCACGCACGTATTGACGACATCATTTTACATGCTGGATACTGGTCATACGCTTTGTCGGAAACAAATCAGCTGACATGACCTGTGTGCATTGGGTTATCAGCAGATGGGCGGTATACTGCGAATCTTCTGGCCATCATGATAGTGAATTATTTGCTTCTGAATGTGTCTTGATATCGGAAATGATGCGAGAGAGAAAAAGAAAAGAAAAACGAAGAAAATATATGAAAGCCCATATTTGTAATTACCACCCACTGATGCTCGTTCTAGCCATATTGGCATGAAAAATGAGAAGAAGGGGGGATAACTAAACTCCTGATTTACACAGTATACTATAGTACGCGATACAATACCTGCCCGGGGTTCCATAGTTGATAGTGACCGGCCCGACGCGTTTCCATACACGATATTTTCCATCCACATTCATACGTTGTGCTTGTGGAGGAAGCAATTGTTCATCTAGGCCCACCATCTATACCACTTCCAAATACCCCGAACTGGCTCACGGGTCGAACACCACGAAGACTCGGGGGCCGTATGCTCTCAACTCCGCAACTCGTCGTTGTGCCGTCGGTTCTCCCACATGAATATCCTGCGACTAGACGAGCGTAGATCAAGTGTCTGCGTGAAAGCATACAGAGCCGCCACAACAACACACCGTGTAACGTGCACAACACCGCACTTGCCCGAACGAGAAAACAGGATCAAATACAAATACTAGGAAGCAGTGTTCGTTTCTTGGCGTCATCCTGGCTCCACGGTACTGAAGACGGCATCGCGGAATTTCGGCTATGCTAGCGATCGTGTTTCTTGTGAGTGTCGCTCAATAGACTCAGTCAGCCATGGTATTGATTTCAGTGACAATCTTCTTTTCTTCGTCTTGTATGAGGTCCTTGTCCGATTGCCATCGACATGGCCGTGTATATTCAATTTTTGCCCTGCTAAGATAGATATAGGATCGAATATGTACCTATATCGTGTATATACCTGATATGCATGACTGTGTATGACATTTTTATTATAGATATATCCTTCTTTTTCCAGGGTTCGAGTCAGATCTCTTATACGATCTTCTTCCCCTTTCCCCATGGAACAAGATGATAGACATGAAAGATGAGTACTATGTAGCTGTGTCACAATTGCATGGGCTTGGCTGTCACCCAAGTCCCTTGTTTGATCCTTCAGAATTAGAGTCCAGGCTCGGTTCGGCTAGCTCAGAGGTCTCCATACTCCCAATGCGGATATAGTCGCGTAGTGTAGTTGGTCCGTCCACCCGTCGTCATTTATCACTGGCAAGCCCGTGTGCGGTACGAATAGTGTTTGCGCGATTCTGATTCTGATTGAACTAGGTTAGGAACTGTACACGACAACTGACACAAATTTGTGCAAGTCATGTTGTCATATCTAGATGCGCGCATGGACAGTTGATATAGGGCAAAAGCAGTAACTGCCAGACAATTTGTGTCCAGATGTATATCGTCCCTACAAATGGGATTCAAATAGATGGGGTCCGCCCCTGTAAGGCTACATTAGGTCCGTCAGGGTCTGCCCTGGACTGTCCAGCCTTATTAGTCAGTCCATCTTTGGGTCGTGATCCATGCAAAAGGGAAGGGGAAAAAGGAAAAAAAAAAAGGAGCAAGCAACAGTGTGTGACCCTCACAGCCCCCGCTCCCCTCGACTTTGGTAAGCTTCAACTTAACAGGCTTATTGGCTACCAAAATCTCTCCCATGGGTGAGTGAGTGCAGTACGGAAAAGATGAGGTACGTACCTTAACCTACCTACCGTTACATGGGGCGCGACCGTTGGCTGTAGGTATGTGCGTTATGTATGTATATTTGGTAGACATGTACCAATTTCTCAATTTCTCGCTTGGGTCAAAGTACCTCGCATCCACCCGTCAGGTATTCTCGGGGTCCAACAAGAGGGGCCGCTCTGCTGTTGTTCCCACTCACCCACCTGGTGATAGTTTATTCATATGCCGTCCGATCCAAAAATTGATCCAACAGGCAGAAGCTTGCTCGGCCCTGTCCTAGCCCTGCCTTTTGCTATGAATACCATGTTAAGTATCCATGTGTGGATGAGATGGACGGATGAATGGTTGGAAGGATTGATTGATGGATGGATGGATGAAAGAATGGATACCTCCAGATCCAGGCTCTGGGTCTGCTGTCTGCCATAACGCACCATGCCTACATACTCTAATCTTATTAGTCTTTTGTCGTGTTTGTCTATTTATTATTCCTGCTCACTCATACATATATGGGATCAGCCCAGCAACTCCCAGCTAGTTGATCGCCCGCACTCACTCGCATTTGTTCACGCGCACTCAAAGGATTTGTCGTATGCATCTCTCCAGACGATTGACAGGGAAAGATACATAAAATTTATTAATTATCTTGCTGGCGTTTTGAAGGACTACCACCATAAGGAGAAGAAGAAAAACCACCATCTTACACGCAACAGCAGCAGGCTCCCACATCACCAAGCAAGACCCAGGCGTAGTCAGCGCCGCTCCTTCGTGTCGAGACAACTCTTTCCCCCGGGGGGCCCAGTATTGTCGCTTATATATCAGATCATATTACCACAATTGAGCATCCAGGAAACCCCCAACTGTCCGGCTTCGATTTCGTGATGGATTTGTCGCCTCCGCCGCTGAGCAGGTCACCCGCATCTTCACTCAACACTGACCTGCCCTCGCCAGGTCTAGGAGACGCTCATTACAAGATCCCATCATTGTACGAACAGGCCTGTGGAATGGATCCCAGCCTGGAGTCAGAGTCGCTGGCGCTGGACGCAACCTCGTCGGCAGAGTGGCATGCTACCTTACTGGCGCCATCTTCGTCAGCAGACGTGCCCCAGAACATTCTTGCAAGCTACGATACCTATACAGGATACGACACTCCCCTACACTCCGACTATCACGGCATCTACACAACTACACAAGCGCCAGCGGCTGTAGGATCCCTTAGCCCACAACCGTTTCCAAGGACACTGTCACATTCTCCGGCCATGGTACAGAGACCGTTCTACGGATACCGCCCCAGCGCTTCTCCGCAGCCTCGAGTCAAGATGGAGAGCAGCAGCGAGTATCCAGACCCGGAGGTTTCAAGATACCCGTCGCCACATGCTGGCCCGGCCATGCCCGTAGAAATTGGCGGCTATAGTAGCGCAGCGAGCAGTACTGGATATCTCTCGGATGCGCCGTCCAGTTCAATGCCCAGGTCAGAGTACGCACTAGAGTGCAGCGTGTACCCTTCTATCTCGGCCGCACAGCCGCCTCCACATCATCAGAATGCTCTGCCCTACCACCGGATGAACAGGGGACCGCGGCCAAAGACGCGCAAACTCACCTCCAAGGAAGACGCCAACTACCAATGTGAGGTCAAGGGGTGTGGAAAACTGTTCAGCAGGAGTTATAATTACAAGGCCCATCTCGAAACACATGATGAGAATCGGGAGTATCCTTTCCCGTGCACAGTGGGCGATTGCGATCGGAAATTCGTCCGCAAGACGGACTTGACAAGACACCACCAAAGCGTACACATGAGGGAGAAGAACCACCGATGTGATTACTGTCACCGATCGTTTGCGAGAAAAGACACACTTAGAAGGTATGCATTAACAGATTTGCTTATCAGCGCCCCTCCCCCGGTGCCTTGTTCGCTATGAAAATATTCCAGGCTGGATTGCTAACATGCTCTCAGACACATGGAAGACGGCTGCTCAAAGAGGTTTGACATTGGCACCCTCGACGTCCGGTCGGAAGGCTACGATTCAGCATCGTTTGGCCCTCGGTCTTCGGCGACTAATCTCATTGCGCCGCCGCCAACGCAGCTGCCGCCCATGACAAACACGATCCCGCGCAGTCCAAATGCCAATATGCTCGAGCCAGTATCTGCACTGATGCGGCGCGGGTATTAAGCCGAATTCTTGGTGCAGACCAAGTAGTCAAGGAATTCAACCAGAAGAAGAAGACAAAAAGCCCAATGGCATCATTGCCTGACTACAAGTTGGCAGTAAGGAAACAGCAACACAAAACTCCGGGCACATTGAAACAATACCGAGAGACCTCAAGGTCGAGAAACAAGTTTTTCTTTCTTTTTCTCATACATCATGTACTACTACGATTTTCCAATACGGCCATGTCGCCATATAGGCGGGCCTTTACGATATGAACGAGTCAGACAGCGCCTTCACCGGCTCTACATAGATACCAATACGCGAGAGGGAAACTTGACCCACCAGTCGAGCCTCTATAAAATTATATCAAGGACATTATGTCGCAGCGATGTACCATTCCATTAACATATTCATGAGATTGATGCTTTTCAGGATACCCGAGTGGCCCGCCGCAGTGATCAATGCAAAGAAGAAGAGGTGATGCAATGCACATGAGCAGCTTACGATAACAGACACTCAGCTACGTAGGTACATACGCATTGCAGCCAGATGCTCGAACCAGCAGGCAAATGCAAGGAATTCCTTGATGCGGGAAACCCGCAGCCCTCTTGGTCGGGACTTGGTAAGGGACCATGGGCCATTTGATGCAGCGGGCGCACAAGACGATCAACCCTCACAGCCCTCGTAGTGTAGGTGTAGGTAGGGGTCCCTACCTAAATTGTAAACTTCATGTACGTACGTAGATCGACCCAACAGCCAACAGCCGGGGAGGGGGGCGGCGAGGAGGGAGGGAGGGAGGGAGGGAGGAGAGAGTGAGCGAGGGACCACAACGGATACCAGCCAGGGTTGACAGCCAGCAGTTCTGAAGATGTCGCGACATAACTCATAGATGCAAATACTGGGTAGAGGTAGATAGGTACAAAGTACATGACAGTATGAACTGCGCCTACCTACTACTACAACTACTAGTACCCAGCACAGAGTACTGCCTACCACTACTACTATGTACTGTGTAAATATTAGGTAGGCTTGGTTGGTTGGTCGGTAGGTACTGTGTAGGCATATGTGCGTTATTAAGAAAACTGGAGTGCATATGTATAAGGTAGCTCCAGTCATGCCAGAGGCCAAAAGTCCCTTCTAGTCCAGGCCCAATCTGTCCGTCTCCACCAACCATAATAGATATGTACGCAGATAGGCACATTGCTAGCGGCTCTGGATTGGGGCAATCGCCGAAACTCAAGCTTCGTGCTTGGGATTGTTGGAAATTCCATACCAACCATTGTAGAGACTAGGTACGCCGCGAGGTGTGTCAAGTGTCTGGTTTGCATCTACCGCGCGCCCGCACGTGTATGCGTTGTTGGTTCACATGGTATATTCTGGCCCATCTTCGCAGACGCATGTTCGGAAGAGAGGGGAAGACTTATGGATGGGATGGAGGAAGGATCAACGGTCACTGCAACCAGTTTGTTGGTCAGGAAGACACGAATGAGTGCCTCAGTCAGTCAGACAGACAGACAGATAGACAGACACACTGTAATAAGGCGCGCCGAAAAAAGCGCGAAATGGTGGTCCAAGTTGGCAGAAGGAATCCCCCCTGGTCCTCCATCCAGTCCAATCAGCAGGGAGTCCAGCATCGTGGTTCTGCCAGTCGCAATGGAGCATCAACTGACATGGGGGGGAAACAGAAGACCAGCCGGTCAGTGGGTGTATGAGTGTGTGATGATGTGGGCGGTTCTGCGCGCAGCTAACCATTGTAAGTCTTGCAGCACAAGGTCGCATTGCATGTGGGAAAGCTGGCAGTGGTAGGGCGAAACATCAAAAAGAAGAAGCAAGACCAGAGATGAGGGACGAAATTGGAACACACACGGGGCCGCAATACACAGTAGTGATAGATACACAGACAGCTGGGTATTGTATACCTCCGTTACCTCCGTACAATGAGCGAGAAGAGAGGTGCGTTGCAGATATGACGGGTTTTGCGAGATCCGGCACCCTACAAACCTCATGTTTCCAACATGACATTACAACGCCTTCACATGCCCCGTCGCCAGGCCGTTGTACCCAGCAGAAGGGACATTCTGATGAACTGGGGCTTTGGCTTTGACTGATGTTGGTTCGCGCGACGCCCTCGATTGATTGGCCTACTCACCACGGCTGTGTACACTATATTCCCGCGGGTGTCTGCCCGGCCGCTCGCGATCCGCCCGACCCAGCGGTATTTCAGTCCACGTACACGCGCATCGAGGCTCTTCCAGTTTGCTCGCCTGTACATGCTAGTTGATTACCCACACTGACTAACTTGAACAAGTTCTTCCGCTCTGGCAGCCCACTTGCCAAGTACGTACCGAGTATTAGCAGTATGTAGTCAGTCAGGCGTTTGATGCGGCCGCTCCAGCAAACGCTTCTTCTTCTTCTTCTCCTCCTCCTCCTCCTCCTCCTAGGTAGCACCATCACACGCTGTTCATCGGGCAAATTTTGAGCGAATGTGGTCGCTACAGATCTAGATATATATGAAAATACCATACCAGCGAGCTTAGAGCCGAGGAGGAGTGTACCGTTTACCATGCGGGAAAAGTTTTTTGACAGAAATAAATAAAGAACAAGAGCGGGCTGCGGGATCCGCTGCGTGGCTGGAGCTCGCTCGATCCCTCGCCTCGGCCCCAAACCCTTGGGAAAGCCATTGTCATGTTACCTGCATCAATAGTGGAACGATCATGGTATGTAATATCAAGGTAGATTTGAAAGGCAATCTGGGCTAGAAAGTTGGTTAGGAGTAGGTACTCAGTACCTATTGTAACTCGTCCACTGCACATAACAATCATGTTATGCTGACCCAATTTCAAGCAAAGGAAGGACTGCACTGTATACCTACTATGTAAGTGTGTACGTACGTATATAGCTTACCTACGTAGTTTGTAGATACTTACTTGGGGTGCCCTCAGCGCGTCATCGTTATCGTCGTCATCGTCGTTGGGGGCCAGGAATTGGGACTGATCAACACCGTTGGCAGCCAGGAACGAACGCCTTCCGTGCTCCATGACCAGTAAACCTTACACTAGACAATACCCACGTTAGCTCATCTAAACGCCGTGCCGCACCGTGTTGGTCGTGTCTCTCGCCTTATTTACCGAGAACACTACAGTACATGCAATACCTGCACTCTTCATATTTTCAGATCCTGCCCACTGTGTCGTACAGTACAATTGTGATTATCAATCGAAATAAAAAGTCCCTTGAATCGCCCCTGTGTTGCAGAGACTGCCCAATCAAGCCAATGGACACGCAGCCTACCTGCGCAATAGCATATAGGTATGTAAAGGGACCTTCGACGCCATGTAGGTATGTGGGGAGAAAAAGACAGAAAGAGAGGGCTGCGCCAGATACCGAAGGGAATAGACGAATCGTGCAGGTACGAGGGGGGGTGAGACGCATCGTATCATGATTGGATAGGTATTGGGTATATTTATTCGCAGCAACACGGGACCGAGTGATCTAATTGCAACCCAAGGTAGAGAGGAAGACGAGGTAGGTAAGGGAGTATAAGCCTTCTAGTGTGCATCAAGCTTACCTAAATGTACCTACCTACTAATATGTACATTGCCTACTCCTGTAGCTACCACCACGTAGCTCCTATAGTCGAGTGACATGACGATCAACCATTCCCAGACTATTAAGAGCCAATCCCATGGGGGAGACACGACTTGCTACGCCGCCACACAAGGGGAAAAAGAAGGTGCTGACGTGCGTTTTCAGCCTTACTGTGCCTTTCCCGCCATCTTCTTTCTCGACGCCGCGAATCCGCATGAGATACCTCCACGTTTCGAATCCAAACAAGAATGGAAGCTTGCATGCTTTAGCCGGCAGCTGTCATCTTATTTTTGTGACTATATGTGTGTGTGTGTATGTGTGTAGGGGATAGAGAGAAAGAAGAATTAGTTGAAACCCCCCCCTCTTGCGTCAAAGTCAGCGTGTCAACTCAATAAGCCAAGCAGCAGCTAAGAACCTATCCAAGGTAAGGAAGTATGCAGGTCTTACGGCGGACAGTGAACTATGGATACTGCACTCCGGAATACCTACAGCTATCGCATTTTGCAGGGGAATAAGCCAGACGATCTCACTCACTTGACTACATTACCTACCCTGCCTCGCTTACCTACTGAACCCGACTGATCAAATGCTGCACTGGTTATTGTTGGACAAACCTGTTGGAAATCACGAAATCCAAATTCGACTCGACGTGGTTCTTCTTCATGATTCACAGTCCACTCTACTGACCTAGGATATGCCTGCACTGTTTTTGTATATGAGCAATAGAAAAGATATGAAAGAAATAGCTTTCCCTTTACAGCGACTTGGGCCGAGACGATCGATCTCTGACTATGTAATGTGGATTGCCCTTGCTTGAAACTCTCTTCTGTGATGATGCCCTTCTCTTCTTTTCCGGTCTCCGCCATTTCACTAGCGGAAAAGCGGTCAGCACATGAGAATGGAGATTGCCCGGCCCTTGTCATTGGCCCGCTCGCGAACGGAACACCTCTTTGTCCAATCGGAACCTGGCTACGCAATGGAAATGGCCCAGTCTGACCCCTTGTCCCTGGGCGTCTTGCTAGGGAACCTCGAGACCCAGCGGTGACCCTAACTGAACTGAGAGAGTCCGTATGGGATTGAGACTGGTCTGGCCGGGCCCTATGCCTGCCTCTCTGCCTCTCTGCTATTTCCGTATGGAGAGTCGAATTTCGAAACTTCCTACAACAGAGTAGGTACCCAGTCGAACGATGGATTGCATCCGCCCGCCCAGCCTGGACCATCCGGGTTGTCTAGGCCAGAGCATTTGCGCGACGGATTCCTCGGCACGGGTATCCTGTTGGCTATTATCATTCCGCATCTGCTTACACCCATCGATATGCTCACCTGTAGAATACGTAGGTACCTAGTCTGCCATCATATCTTGCCAACAGAGTTACACCACGTACTCTGTATCGAGCCATGACCAGCAAGTTGCGCGACTATTTCTCACCACGCGTAATGGTAGGTGAACCAACAAGACAGCTACAGGACAGCACATGACAGCACAGAGGAAAATGAGCAATCAACTTTAGTTTTACAGCTTGACTAAACGTTCATGGCAGAAATCTTCATTGTCTTGATTGAAACCGAATGTTATTTGGCCAGGATTTTCCAACTTATTAGCCCGTATCTACATATACATATACAGTAGCTCTGTTGTTAGGTTAGGGATTCGCTTCACCAATAGCAAAATCGGGAGAATCGCAAGATGTTGTGTACAGCTTAGATGCCTTTGCTGTGGATATATCCATATATTGAAACAACAAGTAGGGACCGGCCCATATTAATCATCTTCGCTACCTTTATACATGACTTCTCAGTTCGGAACAAAATTCTCACACGACAATGCCCAAAAATCATGTTGGCCCTATCTACACAGCATACTCATCATTCGCCCATGGGAGCTGGGCTATACTAGAACGCAAGAATGAGCCCACGAAGGATACAAGTCTGTGATTCTTACACGCTTTCCCAGCCTCCCGACGAGTCCTAACATACTTCAAAGGATTCGATGGCAGGGAATGAGATGAAGCACAAGTCAATCGTCAAGTTTCAAGAAAAGGGAAATGCCAGGGCTCCCTTGTTGGTTGCCCAGTCTTGCTCGTGAGTCCACCGTCGGATACTCATCAACATCTATGCGATTCTTCAACCATTCAAGCCATTGTGGCTGCGCATCATTCAAGCCGAAATAAGGCAGACTTTGCGTTACGATGATTTGTTGTTGCCACGTCAGTTCATTGCAGATGCGATTCCCCTCACCTGGAACCCACGCCCTTTGCCACCTCGGGGACCATAACCTGCGAACTATACTGGCAGTAGCACGACAGTAAGTGTTGTGTCAGAAGAGGTGTGTGTGTGTGTGTGTGTGTGTGTGTAAGTTTTGCGTGCGTTACACTGCATGCATACAGATGTAGGCTGTGGACCGTTGAAGAAGAGGTTATAGTATGCGCAGGCTGTGCCGCTTGACGAGGGGGGCCACGACAACGTCAGGTTTGTGTTTGTAGGTAAGTAAAGAAGCTGGGGTCAGGCTCCAAAACCAACCGGGGGGAAAATAAGGGGCGAGAGAGAGAGAGAGAAACAGATGTAGGTGCAGATTCATGCTCACACATACGTCTGTCTGCCCCATAGGGCTGATGCTCGACAATTGTTGCATCTGACGCACCATCCGCTTTGCAGGAAGCCAGCCTTACCATCACGATCTGCTATTGTTTGCGGAAGGTTGCATAACTCGGCGTTCCCTTTGCAGCCGATATTGGCACGCGAGACTCTAACGGCGCACTCCCATTGGTTCTACATGACGCAGAGGACTTTCTCTACATTCGAGCATGATGAGTTGCATGCATCTCGAAGCCCCATCTAACCTGAGATCTTCTGGTTTCGACCGCGACGTTGCATATATGCACACGAGGAGGATATCGGACGCACTCAAAAGTGAAATATGACCATATTTGGACTCAATACGAGCCCACGGATGCCGCGATGATGTTTTGCATATCAAAGGGGCTGGCTTACGTGACACGATACGACCATTTGTCAACCCCCGTCTGGGAGGAAGTGACGGAAACAGGAGAGTCAAGTACCCACCGCTGTATTATTGTCGTGCATGAAGTCGACTAGAAGTCAATTAGAAGTCGATAGGAAGTAGTCCTGGAATGGTAGTCGAACGAGAAGTACCACTGACATAGAGCCATTCACTTTTAACTCCTTCACACAGGACTCTTTATACTCGTTTGCCTTTCCATTGGTGCATAGGGCGACAAGGGCGATGTCAAAACGGGTACCTGGACAAAACCCAATCATTTGCGAGCGGGATTGCCCTTCGAGTATTGGCTGACGCCTCGCCTCATGGATCTGGCTGGAGGGAATCAAACTATTTTGCTTGGTTGCTCGGAGGTCGATTTCGGATGATAACATAGTAGATGGGGAGAAAAGAAAACGAACCGAGCAACGTGGGATCGTATTGTTCTTGCCGGTTCATCGAAGGTTAAGCTGACTTAAACTGCCTGATGCCTGCGCACCAGCAGAGGAATAACCTGGGTACCGATGAGAATGGACCTTGAAATATCCCCAATGGGAATCACCGAATTTAATACTATCCATTTGAAAACTCATGCCACAATGCGTCTGAGCGGGCAGACACCCAAACTTCAGTGTCTAGTATTCAATTTAATGCGTTCAAGGTAGTGTTCAGCTCGAGAAGTTATCACTTGCGCGCGTGCATTATACATACACACACACACACACACACACACACACAAAGAGACAGACAGAGAGAGAGAGAGAGAGAGAGAGAGAGAGAGAGAGAGAGAGAGAGAGAGA